GGATAAGGACATTTCAGGTTTTATAAAACATCAGAAGCCACTGCACTGCAACATACACCTGCTGGCCAAGACAACAATCTTCTTTGTGCCTTTTTTTGTACTCACATTATTTAAATACAATCAATGTTCTTTAACTCTGTGTCAATGATTCAGATTCTCAGAAGGATACTGGCCTGGAGGGACTTTCCTTTCGTCATCTCGTTGACCTTTTGAAGAATGAACGGCGTCACATCTCTTCCTGTTATACCTCTAGCTCTGAATCAAAAATAGATAGACAGACAAAGATAACTTTTTTCAGCTGATATCAACACTTTGTTTGATTCACAGCAGATCACAGCTCACAGATACTCTCTGCACCTCGCCTCTGTCACTGCCGTCTGTATGGCTTCCTCTATCTGCTGGCCGGCTGCTGCATGCTCCTCTGGGATCGACACGGCGATCAGGACGCCGCTCTGCAGACCCAGAGACAGAGTGCTCACTGCAAAACACACACATCAACATCCATGAAAACATTTTTGTTATTTTGCTTTCACAGAGTTTGGGGTCTAAATGTACTTTCATCTGTTAGGTCACTTCTTCAAGCTTATTTTTAAAGCCATCCTCTCACCTTTTTCTTTCAGATTTATGATGATTTTAAGTATTGTCTTATTTTACCATTTAATGCAGCTCCCTTTAAAGTTTATCTGTATAACCTCCACACCTTTAAGGTCAAAGTAGAAATCAATGTTGAGGATTTAAAAAAGGTGACATACAAATGAGTTTTGCAGCCTCCTCGGGGTCCCAAACTTGGTACGGAGAAGTGAATCCACTTTGTGGAGAGAAGAAGGCTGGGAAATTCTTTGATGCCCCGTAAGTGGCTACGCAGACACCCTGTGTCTCCTAAGAGAAGATGCAAAATAAAAGCAGATAAATATAAGTCCACCTGCTCCCCTTCAACAACCCTTTGCTCAACATCTGTCTTTTTTTCAATTCTCTAAATTAAAATGTAGCATAGACTTATACAAAGAGAAAACATCATGTAGAATCTTCCTGCGTCATATTCGTCACACATTCCACTTTCGCCTTTTTCCTTATCTTTAGGACTTAAGGGTTGTCCTATTGTATGTATGCATGTTCTAAAAAACCCTGTCTATCATGTTTTGTTATTGAGGCTCCACAAATAAAAAAGAACAAAAATCGTTTTTGGTAAACAAAATTGAACTAAGCTACTAAAAGCCAATATAAAAACATGGAGATATCTTTACCATGTTTGACTGAGAGAGAGGTGCCCTTTGATGACATTATTTTATTATTTTTTTAAGATTCTTACAAGGAACTCCAGGGTGCGACCGATGTCCAGAATAGATTTGACTCCAGCGGAGACCACTGCAATGGGAGTCCTGCCAAGCTCTGTGAGATCTGCGCTGATGTCCAGACCTGCAGAAATAACCAATAACTGTAGTGAATCATTTAAAGCCTTTGCACACGATACACTTTGTAATAGTCTTCAAATAACATACATGGAAGTATGCTTTCCAACATAACAAAGACACAAATTAACTGCTCTGACAGTTTTCAGGGTGTCCTTCATTCCTCATAATGAAATAATAGCTTTAAATATGACCTAATCTGGATCATATTTGCATCCTCATCTCTGTCAAATGTCTTTGTCATCAAATAGACACAGAGAGGAAACGTTACTCTTTGTTACTCTTTGTCAGGCCACCAACAAATTAACCACTTTGTTTGTGTCCGTGGTTTGAAAAGTAAGGGAAAAGCAAGTCGTTATTAGTATTTAAAAGAATGAAAAACAAAACTCTCTCTTTACTGTTCTCTCCGTCTCTGTGAACCCCTCCGATGCCCCCTGTGACAAAGACAGGGATGCCAGCTTGATGTGCTGCGATCATAGTGGCTGACACGGTAGTTCCTCCAGAGAGACCCTGAGAAAAAACAAAGAGGAAAACATTCCAGACACCTACGTAAATAAAAAAGTCAGTAAATATGCATGACCTTTTTTTTTTTTATCAAAGTACAAATTAAACAATCATATCTCTTCTCTATTTTGTCCTGCTTTTCATTTCACTTTTCAGTTCTACTCCTCAACAAGTCAGAAGAGAAATCATCTCCTTTCAGTTTACAGAAACACTTTCATAGCTTTAGATACTTTTAAATATTTACTTTCATAAAAAGCAGACTTTGTGCTCAAAAATATTGAGTTTGTTCAAATTCAAGTATTCATCAGTATATATATACAAGTACAGCTGTTAAGACAAGCAGATTTATTAATGAGATGATTGACAGAAAAGAATGGGCAGCTGTTTTAGTAATCATCAATTTCATGCAGAATTGCAAAAACATAAATCAAAAAAGTCAAATCAAATATATTATTGGTTCGGAAAAAAATTACTTTCAGCCCTATATTTGAAGTAGTTAAATCGAGATTGTGATTCTTTTACTAGAGGACCTTAATACTTCTTCCAAAGCTGGCGCTGAGTGTGTTGGTGTCTCACCTTGCTGATGACGTAGGGCAGATCACGTCGGGACACCTTCAGGGAGCTCTCACATCGGGCGAGGTGGTCGAGCTCCTCCGAGGACAGACCGATATGGACCTCACCATCAATCACTGCGACTGTGGCCGGAGTGGCTCCTTCAGCTCTCACAATGGCCTCCACCTCCTTGGCTGTTCTGTGTTGATTCACCATCAAAGATTAAAAACCAGTTTGTGCTGCAAGTACAACAGATTGATGAGCCTTTAAAAGGTGTACCTCAGGTTGTGTGGATAAGGCATCCCATGTGTGATGATTGTGCTCTCGAGTGCGACCACAGGTTTGTTTTCTGCCAGAGCCTGTGATACAGGCGTATGAACTCTGAAGAGGCCGTCTACGAGAGGAGGGTTCAAAATCAATCTTATTTCAATGATCAATTTGTCTTGAATTGTGTGTATCATTTGAGATGAAATGTAAAAAAGACATATATTATTATTTACCATTTTGGGACAATCTGCTCTGATACGTTCTGATGCCACTCCGTAGGATGAGTGCAGACGCTCTCTTCAGGAGTCTCATTCTGTTCAGACTTTAGGAAAATCCTGAAAGCATAAAAAAATAAAATAAAATTCTGTGTAGTCAACTGATACATCAAAGTCAAAGCTCTTTCACTGCTTTCAGGCGGATTTAACAGAGGCTACTTCTCCACTCCAGTGCTCCTCCTGCTTATAGACAGGTACAAACAAAAAACTGGGATTTAGCAATGATTTGAATGTTTGTTGAACAGTTTTGAAGATTTAAAAGGTCCAAGAAAGTTTTAGACTTCAAAAAGAGACTGGGTATAGAAAACCATTCCCCATTTACAGTGGACATTCAAAAACTACAGCTTTAATAACAAAGTCTACTCCTAAATGTACTTTTTAAACCTCCTTCATTTTACAGAGAACTTTTCATGATGTATCCAACACATTCTAAAAATCTGAGCTCAACTTATATGAAGGAAATATATTGAACACAGTGACTTCCTTGTCAAAATCTAAACAATAAACAACATACCTCTGCTTCTTTAGGTTAAAATCGAAGCAGCTTTCCGCTTGAATCGCACCCTACAGAGTGTTTTTTGTCACTGCAAGGCACACGTCCAGCTCAGCCATGGTGAGGATTTTCTTTGCTCCAGTTCTCCACTTTGTTCCCACCACCCTCCCCCCTTTTTTGGGGCCACTCTCAGAAACTGACATCCACATTCCTGAGCTGATTGTTGTCTTTTTTTTTTTCTCACTGAATGTAAGCACTCAGCTCAGCTAGTTAACATGGATCACATTGAGAGTGACTCACCTGAGACACAAAGTTAAAAGTAAAAAATGAAAAGTGTCAATCAATTCTAGACAGCAGATGCTTTGCCGAGTATTGCCCGCTTTGTCTTTCACCTCATCAATGACTCTGAGTGCATAAGAGATAAATGAAGCCATCTGTGAAAGTGCCTTTTAAACAAATGTTATAATGACCTTATTTCTAAAAGCATACTCTGTACTCCTGAAGAAGTATAGACTATTTATTAAACATCATTTAAAAGTACACAGAACATACATTCAGTCACGATATTACTGATAAATCACTTTACAACAGGGTTTGGTGCTTACCTTCTTAACTGCAACAAAAATGCTATAAACTTTGCCCGGGGGTCCGAACTTTGACCCCGACATTGTTTACACAGCCCAAACTCATCAAACACAGATCCCTGGGGTCTTAACTAAACTGGTGTTACCTCCAGAGTAAAAGTATGTGATAGTAAACGTCAAAACAAGAATACTTTTGAACTGATATAAACCAAGCAGACACATTAAAAAAACTAAACCACTAAAGTAATCCTGTGAAGTCCTGTCAGTCCTGTGAATAATCCTGATAATGAATGATCAGCCTGTTGAAGTGGTGCAGCAGTATAAATATCTTGGTACTGTGATCAACAGCAAACTATGCTTTGAGCCCCATGTTGAAGCTCACCAGCGTATGTAGTTTTATCGACACTACTTTTATGAAAATGCTTTATTCTTGTTTTATTGAATCTGTCCACACCTTTGGTTTTATCTGCTGGCACGGCGCACTTTCCTTGAAACAGAAAAATCGGCTGCAGGGAATCGTTAAAGTGTGCAGCAAGATTGCTGCCACTGAACTGAACAATCTTCATGACCTGTGTAAAGTCAGGTCATTGAAAAAGCCCGTCTTATTATTGCTGACTCATCCCATCCCTTGAACTGTGAGTTCATGTTGCTGCCATCAGGGCGCAGATACAAGCTGCCATTTTGCAGAATGAACAGACTTAAAAAATCCTTCATGCCTGCTGCGATCAGTCTGGTCAACGACCACATGTAATTGTGATTTGTTTTTTTGTCTTCTTGTTGTTTTATTTATTGTTTGTTGGCTGTGCCTCTTTTACTGCTGGCTGTACACCAAATTGCCCCTCGGGGATAATAAAGATACCTTGAACCTGTCTCCACATTTTTCATTTCTTTTTTTAAACCCACAGGGAGACTAACGTTTGACAAGACTCTCATTTATTTGTTCAAGTCGTATGAGTACATTACATGTTTACATTTACACTGCTGACTTCTCTCTCTTTTCTTGCTTGTATGATATTGTCATTCATTGGAGAATATTTAAATAGCTCATTAGCTTCATTCTCTATTGAAGGAGATCTTTGTAGATTGTTGTAATGAACTGCTGTACCATTATTGATGATGTTGGCACTCCATAAGGTTATATGAGATTTAAAGGGGGGAAAGGGAAAGAAGAAAAATAGTTTACATCATAAAACCAGAAAAAAAGCAATAAAAGGAACACTTGCTTTGCGTGTATTTATCAAACTGTTAAATGTCTCAACTGTCTGGAGGTTTTAGATTAAAAGAGGCTTGTATTCAGCTGTGATGTGCATGTGACACTCTTCACTCAAATTCAGTACATTTATAGTAAAACCACTTTCCTGTGTCTCTACAGGACTGATACAACCTGCAGAGCCAGGTTCACAACCTGTATTGAAGGTTGTAGTTATTTTTGCTTCCTGACAGATCTGAGCTGAGCTCTCCTCGACTTCCAGCTCTGAACTCTCCAGTAGCTCTTCTTCAAACCACTGTGGATGCTCCAGCTGGTACACTTGAAAAGCCTCTATGGCATCCTGCAGGTCTCTGCCTGAGGGACAGTGGTGGTACTCGCCCTCTGATAGACCTTCGATGTGGTTCACACTGCCTGGCTTGTGCTTTTCGGTGTCTAGGATCCTGAAAAAGAGCTCTTCAAACTGTTTCATCAGCTTGTATCGTACAGTAATGTGGAAAGGTGAAGGCACGTCTTCCTCAGAACAGACGTCATCAAAGTAAGCCACGATGTACTTTTCAAATGATGCAGATCGGATGAAATGTGGGACCATGAGGCTGAGGGCCGGACTGAGCATGTCACCTACAAGTGAGCGTGCATCCTCTCGCAGAAACACCTGTCTGTCTCCACACATGGCTCGCCATTTGGCTTGAACTCCTTTTGAGCACAGGAAGAGTATCTTATCTGAAGACCTTTCTATTTCTCGTCTGTGCCAGTCTAACCACTGGATTCTTCCCATCACTCCCAGTCTAGTAGAGTCCAGCAGATCCAGGACCACTTCAGTGCCACATTTGGTCACCAGGAAGGCACAGAGCTTGAGAACAATGTTTTTGTATAAAGGATGGTCCAGGGAGTAAATGATGAGAACTCTTTTTCTCTCCTGCACTTTGAAACGTTCTGGCTGTTCTTCATCAGCGCATGAGGATATGATCACAGGCTCTGAGAGAAGAGACATTTCATTGATTAATAATTCATTCAAGCTGCAATTTTTTGTTCAACAAAGAGAAATAATCAGAATGCAGACCTTCATGAGATGCGCTCCACACTAAAAATGCAAGAAAAACACCAATGACAAACAGCCCAACAGCAGTCTTTATAAACAAGGTCCGTGGTGGATAATCTGAAACGACCAGAAAGAAAAAGAAAGTGATTAAAAGTGATTTACAACCTGGCGGTTTAGATCAATCCAGACGGTCTTTCATTAATCAGAGACAATTGAAAGGTAATTAACGGCTTGTTGAAATACAAGCACAATAAACTAATGTTCTGATACAATAAGCAAGCCTTAAAGGAATATGCAACTTTTTGATCCAGTAGATCCTTGAGCACCAGCATGAAACCAAAACAACTCGAGCTGCATTGTTGTGTTAGTATGCTAATGCTAGCGCTCTTTAGTTTGCTTGTAGCTTGACACTGCATGTCAATTTACACAAAATGACCAAGATCTAAAAACGCTTACTTTTATACGCAAGGGGATGAGCCGGTTGGCCGTCCCGTCCATGTAAACACGCTTTAGATACGGCTCACACAACATCACAGACAGCGGGACTCCGGTGTCACACTCACTGTAGACAGTCATGACTCACACAGTGATTTTCAGAGGATTTACTTGATTTCTGTACATTTATGTGTACAATGTTGCATATCCAGTCTTTAAGGATTATGAACAAGTGATTGAATGATTGTCTGTATTTGCGCATACGGATGGGAACGGTCCCCTTCAGACAGATTTTAATCCATCTGGATTCAGGTCAGGCCAAAAAACATCTCATGACTGACTGAGAAACATGTTCAAGAACTGTTTCAGGACTTTTCTTCAACAGTTTTGTCTTGAAGCGGTCATCAAAGGAGTATCAAACAAACTGTGAGGCAGTTCTCATTGGTTACAAAAGGTTATGAGTTGGCTATTGAATCCTGTCATGCCAAATGTCTGAGTGCTATCTTCACTTCAATGTTGTTTGAGTTGTATGTTAGAACTACGAAGCTGCATAGCCAAACAGACTACAGCAATGTCACACTTTTCATTGCTCTGCTTGTTTGAAGCATCCAGTAGTAATTTGGTCTAGTCCCATTGATAACAACCCTTCAAATCTTATTTGTACTTCGAGGTTCCTAGCTACTCTGCATACATTACTGTATAACTCTAGCTAACTGTCTAAATTGGTAAAAAAAAAAAGAAAAAAGGTACTTACATTGGCAGTAATTCAGTGTATTCTCCCAAATCAAACAGTCATTCTTGCATCGAATGAAAAATGGATGAATCTGAAGAAGAAGCAGAGTATATGGTGAAATTTACAAGAATAATAACATTACCAACCTTTATGTATGGGACATTAAACTAGACTGAGAACTGAACTTACCGTTATCAACATGTCACACTGAGAGAGCTCCCACAAATCAAACTCAAATGGCACATTCAGATAGGTTCTGTTTTCCTTTACAAGGGAGGAAATGACAGTGAGAAACAACTCCTTGTGTGTTAATGCTAACAAAGCAGTCTGCATTGTTGTAATCGATGATTTAAAACTGTTAGAGACAGATAGAGTATAACATACCTTTGAGATATTCTCTGAGCGAAGCAAACTATGACTCTGGATCACAGAGACTTTGTACATCTCTGAGTACTGTGCCGCCTCAAATCCCAAAACAAGAGATAACTTTTTATGCTCCCTATCAACAGACAGATTAGAGCTCATGTGAGGATCCCAGAGACTACCTGAAATAATCATAAATGCAGATTTTATTCCCCTAGAAGTCTCACAACAAAACGTATGAGATTTAAAGATTGTTATCTTTACCATTTTGCAGACACGGTAGAGACTTTTGGATCCTCCTGTCACTACATCCTGCTTATGACAGAGATATAGATTAAGATATCTGTTATATACAGAAGAAGTTAGTGAAAAGTGAAACATGCCTGAACACTCACGAGACACTTTAAGACACTCTTGGATGCAAAACAAAGCAATTTTACACATCCAAAAGATGTTGTTGATTCATATTGTTGTAATGATACATTCAACATTTCTGTCAAAAAGAAACAACCTGTAGAGATACCTGAACACAACATATAATCATTACATATTGTTTATTGCTCACCTGGGATGGCAATTTGCTTTTCAATCCTGTAGTCTCCAATTTCAGGTTCTGGTAAATTAAAAACGGACACTGTGTACGTCCTACCTGGTTCAACCACAACGCCATCCAAAGAAAAAATCCACTTAAGAGAAAGAAGAAGTCTTAGTTGTCTTGTTATTAACTTTTATGATAAGATAATAATATTAAACAAATACAATCTCACCCTCTCTTCTCTTGGATTGAACACTTTGTAGATCCCGAAAGAATACTGCACACACATACTTTGATTTGTAGTATCATCCTGAATCCTTATCACTGATCCACGAAGTTTGCGTATACCTCCTGGGAAAGAAAGAATGTATCATTTGACATGAAGTTAGATAGTCATATTTTGTGGTATCAGAACAGCAGAGATGATCATCATTTACCATTTAGCAATGGCTTCCACGTCACATTAACGACAGAATGAGGCTCATCATCGTCCATCCAGATTCCCACATGATCAGAATCCCAATCCGGGCCGGTGGGAGCTTCTTTTCTCGGTACCATCATGTGGCTCTCTGAGCAGTTTTCTAAAATTAAGGGAACAATGTGTATAAAGTATAATGTTGTTAATGTATTACATGACTGTTTTATTATATATGATGGAAGCCAAATCAAATAATTGTCTAATAAAAACAGTTTTTCCCAGCAAGAAATTACAACAGCAAGCTAACAATAACAACCCTGTGATGTTTGGAAGAAACCCAGTCAACTGCAAAAGTTATGTCAAACAAAATGCTAATGCAATATAATAGTTGGACTTTACTTTACTGAATTGAAAGATAACCAACTTACCAATTTCACATTTCTTCAGACCCTGAAAAAAAAAGAAGAGAGTTTCTTTCATTTTAACTTTTTCAAAATTGCTCACGTACTAATTTTCCACAACTGAGTGAGTACTCACTGGTTGACGGCAGTCCAGACGCTTGTCTAGAGTCCTGAGAGAAGACCAGTCCGCTAGTCCCGCAGTCACACAACAGAGGAAAAAAAAAACATGGTTCATTTTGGTGGAGCTGCTGTGACTCCGCAACACAGAAGGACAAGCTTTAAAAACTCAAGATTCAACAAAAATAGTTAACTCAATGTGGGAAGTGTGTCGGGTCTTTTGCTACGACAACACAAAGAAGTCTCACTCTGATCTCATTTCAACCATTGTTAGTTGTTGCATGTTTATCAGGTTCTAAAATCTGACTACAAAGGAAGGATGCTTTTTTTTTTAATCTCATGTGGTTGGTAGTTTCCTTTGTCTCTGCACAGACAAGACAAATACTGCACGTTCAAACTGCATTTTTAAGAAGTAGGTGTGTATCAAGAAAGTGAGTTTTTTGTGTAAATGCACATTAGATTGATGCCAATTGTAAAACATTGAAACACCAGTCACTAGAGGGCAGCAGTGGCCAAGCTTAAAGGATCAAATGTCTGCTATGAACAGTTTATACTGCATGTTAGAGTCTGAGAAAAGGGTCACAGTTAATTGCTGTACAAAAACTCTGTCACATACAAAGAATGAAGTAGCTAAACAAACAAAAAACTAATTTTGGTACTATGATTAAACTGTTTTTTTTTAAGGAAAATTTTGGCTTAAGTAGACAGGAAATAATAGAAGTTAGAAATGTTATAGGATCCCCTGCATATTAACAAAGGCTGTATTTTCTATACAAGTTACAGCGTTTTCTAAGACTAACACCTCCAGAGGTCACCAGGAGGACTTCACTTAAATCAACAGCCAGCCTGACCTTACAAAGCACCCAGGAAACCAAACCCACAGGTACACACATCTCACAGGATCATCACATGAAGCCAACTCACAGCCTCAGGATTATGACCAGTAAACAGACTTGTTTACCGGGGATTAAATACTATAGGACAACAATCTGGCTGTTACTATGTGTTAATTCCTGTCGCTTTGTCTCAGCTTTACTGTGTCTCCTCCTACTGGACGTCGAGCTCAGCCGTATCACTTTACATAACACTAAGAGAGAAACACAGACAGTCATGTGCCACAGAAAGCGGACCAGAATAGACTGTCGAGGTTGTGTTTGATCTCTCCACTGTATGAGAATGGCTGACAAATATTCTTGCTACGGTGGCCTTAATTTTCAACTGCTGTGTTCAGGATTTGGTCAACAGAATTAAGCATTTATAAGCAGCAGATACAAACCTAAGTAATAGACAGATGATTATAAATGATACAACAGTATAATGCAGCTTTGATAAGATACCTCCTATGAAGAACATAGCTGATAACAGAAGTTACGTTTTTTTCGTCATTGATTCTGTTTGCATTTCTTTTTTACTTGTTTGTTTTTTGTTCATTTTAAGGTTTAATATCAACCTGCCTAAAGACTGCAAATGAAAAATGTATTGATTAATTTCCAATGGATTTTACTGAATATGTGTTGCGTGTGATGAATAAATGATGTAAGTACAATTAAGCCTTTGTTTTTATATGATAAGTTACAATACAAATAGGACAGGAAAGGATGGACAAAACAAGACAGGACAGGACATTTTATTTACACATTATGTATAGTGTGTGAGTGGAAATATGTAATTTTCAATACTAAAAATACTCAAGTAATCCAACAAGTTAACAGTTGAGTGGATGTATGTGGTGTAATTGTCGTCATGGGGCTTTCAGACACATTTTATTATCCTTCTAGGACCAGAGTGTTATAAAAGGCAGATCAGGAGCCTCTTTCACGGTTATATTTAGTCACATTGCGTTCATGCTCGGCTCTTTGGCATTTAGCCCTAAATATTATAAATACATCTATCTATCTATCTATCTATCTATCTAACTATCTAAAACAAGTGTTATCCTGAGAAACTTTACTAAAACAGCAGGTCTAACTCAGACAATTTGTTATATTATGCTTAAGTTGTGCCCTTACAGTGACCTTTGACCTCTCATCATCATAGATCTGATCAGTTCAACCTTGAGTCTAAGTGGCATGCAAGAAAGGAAAAGAAAAGAAAGGAGAGTTGATGAGAGACAGTGTCAACAGGGGTTTTTTTTTCAAACAGGGTTTGAAAATAAAAATGCCTGTGACCACGTCTCCGGAGGCTCAATTGAATATAATCAACGGTCTTTATGGCGTGTAAATTACTTCAGAAAAGTAAATACATTGAAACACGGTTTGTGAATGTACAACATTCTTTAAGAACATTTTCATGTGTTTATTCCTGTTTGGTATTATATTGTATAATCAGGTAATAAAAATGGTCTGTGCTTGCTTCTTACTACTTATAGTATGTCATGTTTTTATAATACATTTCACAGTGTTTCTATGGTTCTTATATATGTTAAGAAGTGAAATTAAAAATAGCTTTGTATCAGATTTTCAATAGTGCCTGACATTAAAGCTTTAGAGTCACACTGTTCATTCTTAGTCACGCTATGTTCACGTCTTTGGGAATAAATATCAGCCTGTTTGTCCACAGAATGAAATATCTAAACAAGTATTACTTGCATTTTCTGTGACATAATACACACATCCATGGCCCTTAAAGGATGGATACTACATACTTATTTTATTTAGCACCATCATTATGCATGTATTAAAGAAATAATAACAGTCCCATTAGCCTCGGCTGTGCTTTGTGTTTAGTGCTAGTATCAAAACTTTGTGATTCTAGCATGCAGAATTTAGCATTTAGCCTAAAACTAGTCTTAGAAAATAAACTGTGCACTTCAACCTATCAACTCTATTTAAACTCGTAAAAAAAAAAGCAACTTTAAAACTTAAAACAACTGGTGTTCGATGAGAGCCTTTTTTTTTTGCCAGTGCAACCCATGACCTGAAGCTAAAAAGCAAAGCGCCTTTGGGCAGCTGATATCTGCAGAGAGGAACAATCAGCTGTCACTTAGGTGAGGTATGAGTGAAGTGTCCTCTTGTGCAATGCTATCACATGAAACAAATGGGTCATGGGTTGAGGGCAAATCAAAACGGGTTGCATTGTGATGCTGGAATTGTCAGGTGGGACAAGGGGTCTATTTTAGTTAGCCATTCACAGTTCAGACTTTGAATACATAAATCTTTCACTAATAACCATATAGTGCTTTTTCTTTTCTCACCGACTCCCTGCTGTTTCTGCCTTCACTGATTTTCTCTCGCCTACAAGGTAAGATTCATATCAAATTATCAACCTGTGCTATTTATCACAGCCAAATAAAAGTCAATCAGATTTATTATGGGCAACAGAGGTGGCTCTTTAACCTGACGAGGCAGAAGACTGAGAGAGCAGTCCTGGTATCTAAGTGCCCGTCTGTACGGTTAAATGTTTGTCCTGATTAAGTTCAGTCCGGTTTTATTGTAGCAGGTATTGAAGAGTGCATATCAGCATGCCCCTGACACGGCTGGTATTTATGTGAGGGAATCTCTGCTATGCCGTTACTTTTGTCAAGGTCTTCAAGTAGCTCCTCGAACGTGGCTCTCCGTGGTTGACTTCTTGATGATCTCTTGATCCTCTAAGTGAGGAAATGTAACCTGAGGATTAAACAGCCTACCACTGTCTTGGTGCCGGGTAACAGCACGCTCGACCCATCGATGTAGACAAAAATCTGGTGTGATAAGTGATGATTGCTCTCTCGTATGAAGTGGCAACCTCCTGGGTTCAGGGGCAAGACTGCAGGCTTCCTAAAATTGTCTCGCTGCTTTACTTGTGTAGCTTGATTTTCGCACCCTGTCAGGCTGGCTTATTTTAAATTGGATGTATTACAGTGATGTGTCAGAAGCATTGACATGTTTAAATAAGTCTCTAACAGCTACAACTATTCATTCAGTAGAAATACACCATGAAAGACATACAAAGGGGAAATAATGTCGATCGAAAGCGAATACTAAAAAGAAAACGAAGGAAGAAAGAAAATGCCAAAGAAAATATGATAAAAAGAAAATGGCGGAGAAAAGATGAGAGAGATGTTGTTGTTTTTCACTTTGTCCATAATGTGGAACTAAAGCCTTGAAGTTTAAATAAATGCATTTAATGACTTAAAAAAACAAAACAGAAAATAAGGAGTGTAGTGGATCTTGAAGAACAGATGTTAAAGAGACATTTTCTTTTTTTATGAACTGTCACAATGTCCACAGGTTTGGTGTTGTTCTTCTCTTGGCTGCCAAATCTAAGGTTTGGTGTTCTCTGGCATCATCGAGCTCACAGCAGCTGCTTGGACAGAGCCGAGCATGAACGCAATGTGACTAAATATAACCGTGAAAGAGGCTCCTGATCTGCCTTTTATAACACTCTGGTCCTAGAAGGATAATAAAATGTGTCTGAAAGCCCCATGACGACAATTACACCACATACATCCACTCAACTGTTAACTTGTTGGATTACTCGAGTATTTTTAGTATTGAAAATGACAGATTTCCACTCACACATTATACATAATGGGTGAATAAAATGCTTGTAACACAGCTAAAATGAGTTTATTTTTCTGCTCAACAGGGACTGTAAGCTGCAGATATGTCTGAGGGGTAAGTACCTGCCTCTAATAAGAGACATATTAAGCACACTTTAAAGATATAAAACAATAACAATATGAATCTCTTTGTCTGGTTTCCTTGTCAAATCATGAAGACCGGTGAGTCAAAATTATTTTAAGTCATTCATTAATCAATATTGAGTCAGAATAATGATTTCAAGCCTTAAAATGTCACCTAACCACTTTACTAATGACTATTTGATATAAAAAGTATCTCATCCTTCTGACAGAAGAAGCAGAAATATTCAGCAACACGCCGGCTTCATCTGAAGGTCGGTATTGTCTTATGAATAGCATTCAACAGAATGCTGCTTGATCCAAGGTAGCTTTAGCTTTTTTTGTATCCATGCTAATTAGCACCTCACTATCTTACAGTCCAAACTGCTGAAGAAAGCAGCTTCTTTGCTGGTTGCTGAGTGTGAAGAGAAGAAACAGGAGAAAGAAAGAGTCATAAATGAATCTAACCCTCCACTTAAGCTGTCAGGCCTCTCGGCCCAGGAGCTCCAGGTACTGAAACACTAAATCATGATGGTACAGTCTTTCATGGTTTGATGGTTTCGTCTTTCTCGACAGGATCTTTGCAGAGAGCTTCATCAGAAGATCGATGTCGCGGATGAAGCGCGTTACGATATGGAGATTAAAGTAGGAAGAAATGAAAAAGAGGTACGGTAAAACTCCGGTACCAAAACTTATTAAAACATTGACTTACCTCACATGGTGTTGCAGCTGATATGATGATTGTGGCACAGATCCAGACACTGAGTCAGAAGATCACTGAGCTGAAGGGGACAAAGAGGCCCAACTTGAAGAGGGTGAAGAAAACTACAGAGGACATGCTGGGCGCGTGCACGGACACCTCCAAACTCAGGAAGTCTGATTTCAAGGCCAACCTAAAGACAGTGAAGAAGGAGGACGAAAAGGTAAAGTTGTTAACAGAGATATCTGTCCTGAACTTTAAGAAACAGATTTAAAGAGAAGATTCAAATCTAATCTCTCTTTTGTAGAGGGAAGAGGTGACTGACTGGCGTAAGAACGTGGAGGCCATGTCTGGTATGGAGGGAAGGAAGAAGCTGTTTAATGCTGGACAATAAGAAGGTGCTTATAGGAAACAAGGCAACAAATCACTTTTTATTAACATGTAACACTTGTCTCACACCTGTGGGACAATTCTTTGAATGCAGACAGAGTAGGGCTTCACAATGACAAAACTCTAGCAATTAAATAGTAATCAAGACGTGGAGGTTAGAATATAATAATCATCATAACGATAAGCAAATCATGCGGTACTACTGCAAGGAGATATACTTTGTTACACACATACTTCTATTTTAAACAAACTGTAGGAAAAAAATGACATTGACTAAATTACATAAGTAAAAAAAGGAAACACAAGAAGCAGGAATATCCACAAGATCAGAGTAAGAGGTTACAAAAAGTTACACCAGCCTGATCTACATTTGTGTTTATTGAAGTTATCTTTTATTCATTTTCTTTGGTAAATTTCAGACTCCTCCCGTCTTTTGCCATCATCCACGAGCCGGGTTATGACAACAGGGTGGTGTTTGGTTGATTATTTTGTCCAACAAATGTTAATCATTCTTTAAAAGAAAATGATTTAAAACCCAAGCCCTTCAGCAGAATCTAATCAGATTTGTATCCAGGCTGACTTTGTGATATCAGCACAGACCATTCAGATGTTCACCCCTATTATCAGTATCTGTGCGTGCATATAGACTGCAAGTTATGAGACATGACTTACAGGTTCATTTGCTTTCGAAAGTGAGAAATACTTTCATAAATAAGAAATATATGCATGTCCTCATACAGATCCATCATAATCAGAGAACAGATTTCATGATCAGCAGCTTTATTAGCAGTGTAGCTTTTTAAATTGGGCTAAAATCGAATGTCTGTAATAATATAAGCCCTGTTCTTTGTTAATATGCTTTCACTCCCCAAACAGGCTGCATCCCATATGGATTTGCAGCTTTCATACCATCCTGAGTAGAATTTGAGTTTATTTTAACCGGACCAAACTAGTTCAGTTGAAAGCACTTTCCCATTCGCGATGTTGCAAACGTTTCTTTCAGTGAAACCCCTTTGTTCATCTCACTTTCAGAATTCAAGAAGATTTCCATCACCGGATGGAATAAAACTGCTTTTGTATGGACTGATGTCAACAACAGGCACTTTGAAAAGATCAAAAAGAATTCATCCTTTAAAAAAAATCTGTATGAAAACACTTTTTAGTCATCTTGATTTCATGTTAACTTTCTTTAAAGAAAATATCACTGTCAACATAAAGGTATTGACATACATTGTTGAGTTTGTAGTACCCATTCAGTATTTATTAAGTGCAGAAACGACTCGTTTGCTTTTGGAGTCTTTGTTTTAAAGTGCAGTATTAGCATTATACAGATGATGGCGCTGTCACACTTTCTGTACCACACGTGATGCTGATTAAACAACCAAGACAACTTTTCTGTTTGAGTTCTCCAGTTTGTACAGATCCCCAGATTTGATATTAATTTCAAATGTTTTCAATCAGAACAATGTTATCAATCTACAAGCAAAAAAACTAAAAGATGTTCATCATCAGAGGGGCAAGGCTGCATCCAGTACTCCCAGTGTTTAATAACAGCTGTAAACTGGTAAACCTGGTGTTGTGGGAGCCTTGTAGAAGTGTAGTGATATACAGTATGCTGGCTCAGGACACAGGGGGCTATTTTAGTTGGCCACTCACAGAAGGCAAGAGGAGCCATTAAGTTTGACTTGAGTTTTCTACCTGTCATTTCAAGACAGCCGCTGCTCACCTCTACAGGTTTTCTTCTGAGACATTAAAAAGGTATGTTGAGTTTTCTCATGGTGATACTTTAGCTGTAGAATATATCTGATCGTTTCACCTGTGGAATTTACCGAGAAATATTTAAGCACAGCAGGAGGGTGATGTAAAAACATAAGCATGGGAAATCCTAAATGTATTTTTGAATACAGTTTGACAAAATATAAGATGTAAAAAGGACAATTATATTTATATTGTATTTAAGAGATGTTTCGCTTATTTACATCCTTCATATGTTTGACTCAATCTTTGTTAAAAAAAAAGTTCATTTGGATTTTTATCATTGAAACTATCTGCAGCACTCCGGCATACAGAGTGTTTATTTCAAAGGCTTAATATTGGTATGTTATCGTAATGCACTGTCAATTACTATAACTCAACAATAAGTGAAGGACTTAACTGGTGCATGAATCATAGAATCATTCAGTATTTGTGGGGCTGTTTTTTCGGGGGGGTTTTTTACATAAAAGCTGAGTTTACTAATGTTTAACAATTTAAAAAAATAAACTACCATAAGTGCCTGCACGACTGTACTGCTGCTACTGCAACTAATTCTGTGTATACTATCTCACGCATCTGATTTACATATAAATGATGTAATTTTTACAGACAGAGACCAACCATGTCTGAGGGGTAAGTTATGATTTGTATTCATAATGCTATTTAGTGTCAGTAAAATCTGAATTATTGAAATCTTTATCATGTTGATGTTACATTTCTAAACATTTTCCTTTACATATCATCATTCCCACCACAGAGGGGTGAGTCATTCACACGTTGATATTGTTCATCAAAAGAAAAAGCTTTGGGATGTATTCTTGTCTGACACCTGATGATAACTTATTTTTGTTTTGTACTTATTTTACAGAAAAAGTCAAAGATCTCTGCATCTCGCAGACTGGCCCTCAAGGTATTGTCTTTACTGTCTTTATTCAAAATGTTGTCACAAATAAACCTGCATGCAACTGTCCACAAGTTCACAATGAAAAGTGAATCTGTGCCACAAAGTAAACCATTATTTCCTTTTTTTAAGACCAAGATGCTGAAAATGGCAGCTGTGATGTATGAGAAGGAGCTAGAAGAGAAAAAGCGGGAAAGAGAAGTTACTCTGAATGAGAGACTCCCTCAGCTTCAGCTGTCTGGTTTATCCCTTCAGGACCTTCAGGTATGTGCAGGTCACTGCATCAACCATCCGTCACACTACAATGCAACAACATCCCTGAGATTCTCTACTAGTAAGAATCCCTGTGACATAAATACAGAAGATGCCTTTCTTACAGCATGTTCATATACAGAAGGTTCAGCGTTGTCTACACTTTATACTTTGGGCTTCTAGCCGACACTATAATTAAAGGAAAATATTTCACTATTTCACAAATTCAATACTCTCTTATAACTGTTTGATTATTTATTTTGGAAAATTACATAATATGATGCTCTGTCTGTTTGCAGGCTCTGTGCAAAGATCTGCACCACAAGATCGATGTTGTAGATGAAGAACGCTACGACATTGATTCAAAAGTGTCCAAAAATAACGCAGAGGTAAACTATTTTTTTCATTTTCATTAAGTAGGGATTGAGATTTGTTTCAAACTGGCTGTGCACAACGGAAATCCTTTTATTAATACCTTGAATTATGTCCTGCAGATAGCCAACCTGTCCCAGAAGATCATTGAGCTGAAGGGTAAGATGAAGCGACCTGCTCTCAAGAGGGTGAAGATCTCCGCTGACGCCATGCTGGGAGCTCTGTTTGGCACTAAAGTCAAAGAGTCTGTGGACTTCAAGGCCAACCTCAAGACTGTGAAGAAGGAGGAGGAGAAGGTAGGTGTTGTTACTGTCACAGCTTTCCAGATTAATTATGTAAACCTTCATATTTATCAAGATTAAGTCACGCCGGTTTGACCCCATGGTTTTAAAATCAGATTAGGTTCGATATACGTTCACATAACGAGGTAATAGTCATGTTATTTAGGGCTTTGATTCTTGAAGTGCAGAACCAATAAGTTTTTTTTCTTCTTCTTATGAACAGAAAGAGGAGGTGACTGACTGGCGTAAAAACGTGGAGGCCATGTCTGGCATGGAGGGCAGAAAGAAGCTCTTCGATGCCGGACAGTAGACTTTATATTCATAAACATTTAAATATGAATGCTGTTGAACACTTGACAAAAATAGAGAGGAAAGTAAAGTTAATATATTTTCTCATAATAGATCATCTGCAGTGATTTTATGGTTGTGTTAAAGTCTTTTACAACATGCAAAAAGATGTTAATTCAATAGATGGATGTTGTGTGCATTTTGCGTTTAAACGGGTTATACCTTGTGTCGTTTTCTAGTGTTGGCACAAAACTTAAATTTAAAATCACATAAAGTAAACTTAATTATCTTAAATGTCTTCATGTTCGTAACATAAGCATGCAGCTAACGTTTTGGTGTCTTAATTTTGAAAAAGTTTTGAAAAGAACTGTTTTTTTCTGTTGAGATAATAAATTCTTCTGATCAACAAACAAAACTGATGCTGCAATTTTCTTCTAAATACGAACATGTTTTTCAAACTGGTGCTCTGATACTTGTGGAATGGGGACACGATACATTAAGAACTATAAAACTTACGTAAATAGGAGGATCACATGTTCAAGGCTGAAATAAAGCGCTCAGTTAGTTAACATTACTGATAAAGAAAATAAATCTGCAACAACATCCATACATTGTTTTGAACTTTTTCTTATGTTTGCTAAAGTTCCACATTTACATATTAAACAAAACAAAATATCTTTGATTGTTGATAAATTCAAAATATGCAACGTAAAGACATCGATGGCCTGGGAAATATATGATTCTCACTGTAATCATATATTCGCTGAATCTTTAACTAATGAGCAAAAAAAGGATCAAATTACATTTGAAATTGTTGCTGTGTTAGTTATAATACAAACCACGTCTTCATTATTCTTGCACAGTGTCAAACTTCTAAGCCTGGGTAAACCATCAATGAATCCACTGATACCCGTACAGTTCTCTACCAAAGTATCGATAACTCTCTCAAATCTTCACATCACAGCTACGACTGATTTTCACATTCAAATTTATTTGACCACTGATTGGAAATGTGCCTTTTTTAACAAAGACAAGACAGAAGTTTTGTTACGTGTGAGAAGACAACCGTTGACGGAGTCATAGCTTAGGTTAGGTGACAAAGAATTTCTGAAGTCTTTGTGTCAAGCTAGAACTTTGAGGTTTGAGAAATCTGGTAATGTAACCCGGCAGGAATCTTCTGATGTGTTCAAAATCATAGTAAACATTTTTTGCGTTTTTAATTCACTTGTCTCAAAGTCAGTGTGAGTTATATTCTAGTTGGATGCCTGCAATCAAGGTCTGTGGCTAACACAAACTTTAAAGGTAGTTGGGGATATTAAAGGTCATCACGCCACACAAATAGTTTGAAAAGTTTGAAGCTTAGCGGTGTCGTAGAATCATGCTGTAAGTGTTCAAAGTCTAAAGTTAGCTTTCAACTTCTTGATTTCTGTCAGCAACTGCATTAACTCTTCAAAAAGAACGACATGGTGTTCGAATCGTTTGCTTGTTATTTTGTGCACAATACGATTTGTTTTTGTTCTTGACTTGTGGCTTTATCAACAACGCATTGCAATATGAATGCTAATAAATTACTTTTATAATAACACATTTAACAACAACTGTAAGTGCCATGCATAAAGATGTCAAAACATGTCATTTTATGACATGTGCTGCTGACCTCTTGGCCAGGTCACCCTTGTGAAAGAGCTCCTGATCTCAATGGGTTCTTTATCTGGTTAAATAAAGGTTAATAAAAAAAAATTAATAATAATAAGTGCTCAAGATCTTTAAAACACTCGACGTTTACATTTTGCTGCCATGTTTATGCATAATATGACAACGTTGGCAAGTTGTGTACAAAATATTTTAACTAATTTATCTTGGTGTTTTCACACCACATGCATAATAGGAATCGTAGAATCCAGTATTCTCGCAGCCTTACTCGTATGAAGAAAATCTAAAATGTTTGCCCCTTTTTTCTTATACACCTCCTGCGAGTATACTTACTTCATGGAGGTGAAATACAACATCTCTTAACCCTTAAAACAACGACTAGTAGTGATCTTAAAATAGTGTTTGACCCCAGGTTTGCCCGGTACTATTCTCGTTTATTCATCTGCTGCCTAACTATCTTTATGTGAGGGCATGAGTCTCGGTCCTTTGAGGGACTGAACGTTCGACTTAATGTTGCAACGTTGACGCCGATTGAGCGCTGGATCTCAGTTTACAAACCATCAAGCCCTGAACAGCACCTGTTCCTTTTTCCTCCACACGCCTAAATTAAACCAGAACAACTTCAGGCTTTGTTCTCACCACCAAGGTGGTCGAGTAATGTCTTCTCAGGTTAGAAAAGTCTTTCAGTACTCAAATGAAATGGTTTAACAACCGGTATGTATCTTTTAAGATAAGATAAGATAAGATATACTTTATTCATCCCAGCAGGGAAATTAGGTGTTCCAGCAGCAACACACATACAAACACACAACACAACACATACATACATATCCCACCATACAAAAAACATGAGCCCACAATACATAACCAGGATAAAAAAGTGGTATGGATGGTCGATGTGCATAAGTAGAAATACATACTTTTATAAAATATACTTTTTGACAGTGAAAAGAAAACTGCACTGAAAATCAAACTTCATATATTTTTTTTAAAGTGATGCAAGGAGATAAATAAAATGAAAACAATTTACAAAGCTTCAGCAATAAACAAGAGCTGACCTCTAAATGCAACATCATCATCATGCACATTCATATTTGCTAAAAAAAAAAGTGTTGTTTATTAATTTTTAGTCTTTACATTTCTATTTTGATACCAAAAATTAAATTTAGGGTGAATTTGTAAACTGTTGACTCAATTAAAAACCAACTTTGAAACACAGCTATTGAAATGGATATTAGGTCCTCGTCAGTCTCACCTTTGGACACCATAAGATGACTATAGATGGACATCTTAAGATGGTCCACACTCACATTCAGGCTGTGTTGTTTGTTCTATAAATAAAGGTGCAGAACACGTTAATACCGACACTCTGTGCTGATTTCTTCCTACTGTTTGCCTCCTTGACAACTTTATCTGAGCTCCAACGATCTGGCCCTGGTCAAATGTGAATGTGTGGCATTGACCCAACATTAATGTGGTCACCTCTTTAAATGCTTACTGTCACTTCCCCCAACAGGTGTTGTGGAAACTACACAAGATACCCAAATGTTTGAGCCCATAAATGAAGTTTTATTGCCCCCTTTTCCTGTCTAAATATTGCGGTGATGCTATGTGCAACAGTAAATGTCACTGCTGGCAGGCACAGTGGACGTAGCACACACAGGAGTCTATTTCAGTGAGCCATTCACATTTGGCACCCATACTATAAATCTGATTATTCTCCATCGTCTCTCAGAAAGACGGCTGATTGCTGCCTAACTTACACACGCTTTGCTTCAGTTTTGAGTTGCAGCTCAAGGAGCCGTTCAGCGTTTAAAAAGGTACAGACCTGCTCATATTCAATATCTTGTGATTTGGAGTATACCGTGTGGTGCATTAGTGATGCGTTCTGTTAACAAAGAGGGACTTTTCAGCATGCGATAGGTCTAAAACATTTGGTAAAATATGAAGAATCTGTTTTTTTTCCAGAGCTGTGTTTTGTCTTTCTTTGTTGTTTTATTTCTATTTTGTTGTGATTAACATAAACCGCAAATTGAACATTGTCATCCTGCATGCCTGTGGATTATCTGGCCATTCACCTTTTCTGTCACCTATGCTGAGACTCTTGTGAGATATTTTAATACGTGCACAGACAGTTCTTTGACGTTTGACACACATACTTCTAAAGTGAACTTGTTTTGTTTTATACATTAATATTGTTCAAGTGCACTCCATTAAATTCACAACAATTTGAATTGCAATCCAAAATGAACGAGAACATTTTTTTTTTTTTTTTATTAATCCACATCAATGCATAAATCTCTTCATGATACCAATCAAGTAAAGACAATTCAATGTAATGAGCAATGTAAAGCCCAGTGTTATCACACAGAATCAACTGTCTGGTTCATAGAAGTTTTCAACTGTGCTTTACATTTCACTGGTAAAACAACTGAGTGAGCAATAAATAACTGAGTGCACCAAGCTGTAATGAGTCGATGGATATGTTGAGTGTTTGAAATACTTTGAACAGAGAGGTTAAAGACATCATTAAACGCCCGGGTGAGGCTGAATTGAAGAGGTGTTTGAGCTTCAGGGAATTGACTCTGTTTTTAATTTAAAACATGATGTGTTACATTTCATAAAAGTCACCTTTTTTTTTCCTGGAAGAGACTTTTCATGTTATTTTACTTTTACAATTTTAGCACGGGAATTGAACAAAACGATGGCTGAACCGTGAGTATTATCACTGTCGGTTTATTTCCCTGTGTTTATTGGCAGCTTCAAAGCATACTGTTAAACTGTTTACTGGTCTCATCCGTTGTCTTTACGTTAATATGTCAACGTGTGTTTTGTGTCTCCTGTAAATGCTTCAACAGACCCGTGAGTATCTCCCATCTTACATCATCATTATTTAACATTTTTTAAATCTTTCTTTTGACTGTTGAGGCCATAGTATCATGAAAGCTAATGTGATCCTTAATAGAGTGCAGATTGTAATGACTGTTTTTATTTGTGACTTCTAGAGGAAATCAAAAATCTCATCCTCTCGAAGGCTGGGGTTGAAGGTACGCTTTTTCAATCTCATCAGAGACTTTTTTTTTGTTTAATATCATTTTAAGACTACGTATGATATTTAAAAGATTAGCTAAAGCTTTTATTTGATCTGGTTTGTCATTTGTGTTATATGACACAAATAGTTAACATTTCTGGTATTCAAAAGGATGGATGAAAATATAAGGTTATGGCTGCTTTATTTTAAGTTTTATCATATGAAGTGATTTAAATGTTTTTATGTTTACCAGATTTACGTTTAGTTTTAGACAAGGTTCTATATCTACTTATTTTGTTTTCTTAGATAAGACTATTGGCAGTGGCTGCTCAGATGCTGCAGGAGGAGAAGGAGCAGAAGATTCAGGAGAGAGAAGCTGCTCTGGCCGACAGAGTTCCTCTGTTAAGTATGTCTGGTCTGTCAGTGCAGGAACTGCTGGTATGTCACTCTGTTGTAACCTTTTAAAAATGTGAGTTTTTCCACTTGTCACAGTCCTCCACATTCTGATTCATATTATATTCTAATACCACAAGAGGGTGTCTTCTCCTTTTACAGGATCTTTGCAAAGATTTGTATCACAAGATTGATGTGGTGGATGACGAGCGGTATGATATTGGCCTGAAGGTGTCTAAAAATGACTTTGAGGTAAGCTGCTCAAGAATCTTTAAGGAAATTAAATGACGCATGTGTAATTGTTACTAATGTCTATATTATGGAGACAGACACAGCGTTAGTATAATGAACAAACACTGCCCCCAAGTGGCAGAATTGAGAATAACAAGTCATAACAGAATCATATAGACATTAGTTATAGCACCAAATTATGGACCCAAATAGGTCACAATATGTTTGTAATCATTCAAAGCAAGGTGGGAAGAAACAGGAAATATGTGAAATATGTGATTAGGATATGGACATTCTTATTTGCTCTGTTAATGTTTGAGGTGTTTTAAGTATTTCTCCAAATTTAAGTCCACAGTCACATTGATCAATTTGCCTCAACCAAGATTTTTAAAAAAAATCAGTATTTTAAAATTGCATAACAGCAGGATTAATATTCCTATTTGGAGTTGGACCAATAATTAACTAGCAAAATATTAACCTTTAATCAAATGTACGGTTTTATCTCCACAATGAGGTATTGTGTTTTTAAAACAGATATACTAACCATAAAAATCCATCATCTGTAATAGAAGCAATTCAAAAGTATTTATTTGCATATTTAATGCATGATTGGTTAAAATACATATTTTTGAATGGTTTTGTAAACCAAATCTGAATTGCATTGTATCTTGTTATATATTCTTATATTATTTCCCCTTGCCTTGAAGAGCTTCTAAACTCAGATTCATTTGGATAAATGTGTATCTTCACTTGATCTCTTTACCTAAATATTCCATAAAGGTACAATAAAGAGTACAGTTATTGTCGCTTAAATATATAAACTATTCATTCATAGTTTAATCAAACAGTATTTGTGTCCCTTAGTTAAGTATTAAGTTGCAGGTAGCTGTAAGGCTGAAGAGTCTTTCCTCTCACCCTCTCCTTTAAAGTGTGTAGGTGAATCATACATTCATGGTAGTGAGAGTGAGAATCAGAATCAGAAATAGTCCGTTTTGCCTCGTGAAGATGTCTGACATACTCAAAGTGTCAGGGAACAAGCTTAGCACTGTGCTGCTTGTTTGGAAAAAATAACATTCATCTTAGTTCTATTTTTTCACTTCTCGCAGTTCAAAAAAAGTAAAAAAAAAAGAGAAGGAAAAAAAGGTACAAAAACAATCTCATTCCCTTTTCACTGGAGTATTTCTCAGTGTACAAACTGTGAGGCATCCACTAGAAACAATTGATTTCTGTATGGAAGGAGGGTTAGGTACACATATGAATGTGAAGTGAACTAACTAGTGGGCAAAATATATTGTCTAGCTTCCCTATACACTATGTGCAAATAAATAATCAAACAGCACTGAGAGTAATAATAATTGCCAACCTGCACAATCCTTCCTATCACATGTTCCCCTCGGCAGATGGACAACATGAATCTGAAGATCATTGAGATTCAGAGTAAGTTCAAGAAGCCGACCCTGAAGAGAGTGAAGATCTCAGCTGAAGCCATGCTGAGCGTTCTGCTGGGCTCCAAACACAAAGAAACCATCGACTTCAAGGCCAACCTCAAAACTGTCAAGAAGGAAGAGGAAAAGGTTTGTCTGACTTTTTCTCAAAGGGGCTCTGAAATTCCTTAAAATAGTTTACAGTCAACTCTTTTAAATGTTCATGTTTTTCTGTTCTTCCAACAGAAAGAGGAAGTCACTGACTGGCGTAAGAACGTGGAGTCCATGTCCGGTATGGAGGGCAGGAAGAAGCTGTTTAATGCTGGCCAGTAGAATCGCAGAACATCAACGTGAAGGTGTTTGGTGCTCTGAAAAGGTGGAACCAACAGGGAACAAGAACACCTTTCTGTCACTAAACGCTTTGTTTTGGTCATGTGGTGACTGTTTGCTGCAGTTCTCCTCTGCAGCCTTGTGATGGCAGCATAACTCTTTAAACCGTCTCAGGGTACTCAGACACACAAGTGTGTCGACTATTGAAGAAATATTGTTTGTTGCTGTTAACTCACCTCTGCTACTTTGTTATCTGCTGTGATGAATTAATCTCAAGCTTGTCAGATATCTTAAAAAATATTATGATAAAAAGTTATTACAGAAAATCTATCTTAAATAATTGCAGTGCTCATGTGTTATCTTGATCTTTGGTTAGTTTGTCTGATACACACATGAAACTTGTGATGTTCTCTCAATAAAGAAACAAACAATCCTGCCTTCTGTTTTTCCTCCACTGTGTAATCTAATTATCATCTTGAACTGCGTGTGGTATCAACATTAATGTAATGCTTATATTAACAGACTTAAAGCTTCTTCAAATAAGCCCCCTTGTTTCTTAACATGGATACAGTGATACTAAGAAAGAATCAAAGGTGGACAGTCCCAGTGAGAACTTTCACACCTCATACATATGGGATGTGAGAGACGCAGTGAGGAAAGAGGGGCTATTTTAGTGGGCCACTCACATGGGCGCTGGAATCTATATATCTACCTTCTTTCTGCCCTTCTCGTCTCAGAAAAAGACGTCTGCGGGTATTTGTCACCTCCTGTATAAGGTAAGGAGTTTGATTTTAAACGATTACAGAAGGTAAGGGAATAGCATCCCAGTGGAAGATTTTTTTTTTATGACCATGCTGTTGTTAGGAGTCGAGAAAGCTGCTCCTATTTCATCATTATGACACAATGGGTTAGGGTTAGAACAACAAGAACATTGTTGGACTTTTCTCCTGGAGCAGCATTATGTTTATTTTCTAATATTTTTACATTGAACAACAGTGTTTTGTTTTTTTTGCCTTATCAGAAATCTCTTAACATGTGAGAAGGGGAGGAATGACTTTGTTTAGGTTTGACTAAAGCTGGCTTCCTCTTATGTTGAAATGACTCAAAGTTATAAGTAACAAATAAAGGTGTGGATTTGATTACTGTTTTCTTATTTATTATTTTTTAGCAACCAATACCATCAAGTTTAATCATCAAGTTTTTGTTATTTTGATACAATTGTCTAAAACTGACTATTTTTGGCTTATTAAAATAACATTTGATTTTGCAATTGTAATAAAAACAGGAAGCCTGCCTTGTGTCTCTTTTGCAATACATGATCAGGAAATTATGCTAATTTGTGTCTTTTTTAAAGAGAATATTTCACATGACATTGTCCAGCAGTGTGACCTTCAGACAATGTCATTCACTGTTTGTGTCACTCGCTACAGAACTGAAACCTAAAGCTATGAAGAATTTCCTCAAACAGAAGTGCTGACAACTGACTTAACGTTACTTTTCCCTGTGCACCGTAAACGAGCTCATCTGTCGCGTCATTAATGATGTCATGTTTTTAATGTTCATAGATTTGATAAGGGAAAACACAGATCTGCAAACATGTCTGAAGCGTAAGTACAAATGTCTACTTTACTATCATCAGAGAATAAATGAACTTTTCATAATGTGAAACAAGAAAAAATAAAACAAAATTCAACCTTTTCTTCCTCTCTTCTTGAACTATGGACACCACCTTCCTCTCTGGATAGAGCTGCGGTGAGTTGATTCAACTGTGAAAAATAGAAAACGTCTTAAATTAATGTTTAGTTAACTATAGTAGTTAAGGACTACTGGTCTATATACTTCAAACTTGTAATTCAAAACTACACAAAAGTGCCTTGTCAACACATTAATTGTTATCAGGGTTAAGTCAGCACATTATATGATACCACATTTGTGTTTGATGAATTACAAATGCTGCACAGACAGCAATATGAACACTGAAAATGAATTTCTTGCTGTATTTTTAATAAGCATATTACAAATTCTACATGTGTGCTTCTTCTCCTTCCAGAAACCGAAGCCTAAAATCTCTGCATCTCGCAGACTGTTCTTAAAGGTAACATGTGTGTTACTGTGTGTTTGTCTTGGAAAGTGATGCTGTAATAACTCATTCAAGACATCACAGCCTTAATCTGCTTTAAAACATTTTTTTCTGGTTAACCGATGTGTTACTTTGTAAATGCACCAGACCAAACTGCTAAAGAAGGCCATGACCATGCTGGAGAAGGACAAGCAATTTAAAAAAGATGAACGAGAGAGGATTCTCTCTGAGAGACTCCCAGGACTCCAAATGTCAGGCCTGTCCCAGCAGGAACTACAGGTATACAGTATTTATCTGCAGCAACATACAAAGTTTGTTTTAGGTTTGGGGATTTAAAGAAAGTAAAACCAGGGTTTCTTTGAACAAAAAAAAACATTTTTCCACAAATCCCTACTGGTATCTAGCTGAAGCAAGCTAGAATAAAATGCAAATTTGATTATTTAAAGATTGTGTTTCTCAAAGCTGCTTAAAGCTCATTCATTCAAACAGGCTTTTGAACACATGTTGTAATTTTGTAAAGTTGGGTGTAAAGTCTAATTTTTTATGCTTTTTGCTTTTCTTTTGTTTCTTGTTCTTTCTCTTATAAAGCACTGTAAAGCACTTTTTTTTTTGACTCTGCTCTGAAGGGACTTTACCAAACTAAAAGACCAATTTGGACCAGAAGTCAGGATTATGTCACAGCAGTTGCGTGTGCACTGTGGAGGCAGAAAAGTGATGTAATGTTCACTGCATGTGTATAAACTGTTGCCTTTAATCAAACATGAGCAACTACAGACTGTGTCTCAAGTTAACATAGCGAGCGAGTGAACACGTCTCTCCACTGTACTTTCTACTGTGTCATTTTTACAGTATATGGTTTTAACACATCTCTCAGACTGTAAGCGTCTATTTTAGACTGAGTGTTAGTACAGGCATTCCCCAATCCATAAGATTTATAACAACGACAATACGGGTTAAAATATTTGTAAAAAAAACAAGTCAACTCAATTTACATTGTTTTGAACAAGCATCTGCAAAGTCTCTTTAAATGTACTTTGTGACTCCACAAACTTTGTATCTAAAGGCACTGATGAACTCTTATAATCTGATGCGAGCGGCGGTGTAGGATGTTTAACATTATTTTTGATAGTAAACAAAGGTCCTCAAAAGCTGCTTCTGCCAGTATCACCAGTTAAATCAACACTGCTAGCTAACTTTCTTCCACCAGTTGGGCTCCACCTGCAAAATAAGTCATCACTGTTGACAAACATGAAACTGCTCCATCACACAAGTCTAATGCACTCACGGTTTTTGTCCACAGAATCTTTGCAAAGAGCTTCACCAGAAAATTGATGTGGTTGATGAAGACCGATATGACATTAATGCTAAAGTGACGATAAATGATAAGGAGGTAAGTCATATCTGTGAATAACTGTAGAGTTATATAACTTGATTAGAATTACAAATGTAGATGATACACACGGTATGTAACCGTTACTCATTGGGAATTAGAAGGTAATATATTGATGGCAGGTTTGTCATTTTTGTTGAAAACAGATACGGGACTTGTCTCAGAAGATCTTTGAGTTGAAGGGCAAAATGAAGAGACCAAACCTGAGAAGGGTGAGGGTGTCTGCTGACGCCATGCTGGGAGCTCTGCTGGGCAGTAAGGTCAAAGAGTCTGTGGACTTCAAGGCCAACCTCAAGACTGTGAAGAAGGAGGAGGAGAAGGTAAGAGCGTGTTTTAATACAGTTTAATGCAGCATGCCATATTGTTTCAGTTTAAAATCAAGTCACTGTTAGTTTAGTGGATATATCTATGATATATCTGTCACTTTACTTTTTTTAATGAGACTCTAATAAACAACATATTCTTCATCATGACAAAGCGGTTGCCATAAATTGTTCAGTTGCTACATAAAACATGGGCACCACGTGCTCTAGGTTTTATCAGATTTCTATTTCGGAGGACCTAACATGCAGAAGCATGAAGGTTGTTAGCACAAATGCCAAAGCTCAAAAGTATGAAATATACAGCTATGAGATAATCACTTTGTGTATTTTTAGATTATATCTTTACTATAACCTGATTCAAAACCAGTAGAGCTGAAATGCTTTTTAGGTAACTAGAAAGTAGAAGATACATCCTGAGAATGATTTCATGTGTTACATGCAGAGCATATTAATACTGTGTCTGTTGTGCAAACCAAAAAAACCTTAATATCCATATTCCCCAACATTGTAAACTTATATGTTTAGTACAAATGGCTTCAATTGTTACGGAGAATGATCTGACCTGAATCATCTTTTGCCTCAACAGAAAGAGGAAGTGACTGACTGGCGTAAGAACGTGGAGTCCATGTCCGGTATGGAGGGCAGAAAGAAGCTGTTTAATGCTGGCCAATAGAATCGCTGAATGTCATTGTGAATGTGTTTGGTGCTCTAAACAGGTGGAACCAGGGAATAATAAGTTCACTTTATTACAACAGTGAACATGAACACTAGGATAACAAGCAGTTGTCTTGCACAGTTGATGTGTCACGGTTGTGTAAATGTCAATAGTGAACATGTTCAACTTAATGATAATTCACACAATACATATATTCTATACATAATGTATGAGGTATTATGGAAAACATATCTATTTAATAAACCAAAGCTCTGTAATGCTTTTGCAGTTTTTAGTATAAAGATGATTTCATTAACACCCCACTATTGGCTGTCCAGATAACATGCAGTAATATAATGGCCTCACTTTTTTGACTTCTGCTATGGACAACAATAAACAGGGAAAGGAAACTAAATTGGAATATTTGTCCTAATTGTTTCTGAATTTGATCCGAATCGTTCTGTAAAATCCTTTTCTTCAAAAGCATCTTTGGTATTCATGGGATTTCCAGGTTAAAAAATGTGCCTGTCTCATAAAGAGAGTGAATACTGAATACACATTCCAGGGGCAGCTAATTGATGTTAACTGTTCATGGAGTCAAGTTGAACATCCCTGAAAACTAATGAGTGTATAATTCCACTAAGTTATTTAAGAGCAAACGCTGTGAATGGTGTTTCAAATAATAAAATAAAAGCGATGTGCTCAAAGTATAATAGTCCTTTTTGTGTTATACTGGAGCATTATAGCTCTCCTTTTAGCAGTGATTCACACAGCAGCAGTCAAGATTCACATCGGTACTCTGAAAAAGGAATCGCATTAACATCGTGCATAGAGCAGAGGTGGTTGGCAGGTGAAGAGCAAGATTTTGAAATTGAGGACGCACCACCGTCTTTAAAATCGGAGGAGAGGAAGCATTTTGTTTTCCCCAAGACATAAAATTAAAGAGGTGAGAAGATAACAGACAAAAACTGTCTGCAAATATTGCAAGAAGACAGGGAACTACACAAATAGCACAACCAGCATGACGCACTTTTAATCAACACCACAATGAGAAGCTCCAATCACCTCCCCTTGTTGCGAGGAAAAAAACATTAAAAGGCCAAACCAGACTGACAAGTGGGTTTGCAGCCCCTAAAGGAATCTTATAAATAAATCGTGAGAGAACCGTATCGCAAGTTGAGGGAATCGTTACATCCCTACTATGCCCTGTTGTTTACTCAGACTCAGATGGAAGAACAAACACCTAGCTGTCGGAGAGTCACCCACCTGGGGGAGGGGTTACAGCCCTTTGTGATGTCATGAAGAGAAAATCTCCAAACAGCCTGTTTGAGCACACGTTTTCTGAAAAGTGGAGCAGGCCAAAGACAGAGAGGATGGACTTTTCTCATAACTGGGGGGTTTGGAGATAGACTAGGGACACATGTTAGTGTTATAAAAACATGGTAAAGTGTATTTTGCATAATATGTGACCTTTAAGTCTTTGGTGTGTCACCTTATCATTGGAAAATAAAGCCTCATATATCCAGTATTTGGAGATTTCCAAACTGGTCTTTGATTTAGCATATTCTAGTAAGTGAATAGGTTTTTACGTCTCTTTACCAGTGTTGTTAAAAACAGAATCATCCCACCTGCCTGGTGCCTTTACTCATTCTTAATAAATGTTCATTTAGAATGAGTAACATGAATCACAATATCAATAAAGTGCAATAAAAAAACACAAGTTGATATATCACTGACCATATTACCTGCCTTCCCCTGCACTTAAACCATTAGACTAGGTCGACTTGTTAGGAATAGGTTTTTATATTATGTAAAAGTAAGTAAATGTGGTAAAACCCTAAGGAAATTGAGGTTAAATCAATCTGAATCTGACTCTAAAAAGCTAAGGTAAGTCTGGAAAATGATGCTCCAATGATTGTAGCAATAAAGTTTTAAAAGATTTAAAAAAAAACCAAAAAAAAAAAACAGAAGTATCTACACATAACATTTTCTAAAATTAATTAAAGTCAAGAAAAATATAGCAGCAGTATTGAACTGTTTAGCTCTTTATGTTTGTTTAGGCTTGATTTGGACATATTAACATCCCCCCCCTCTGTTTTAAAAAACTCTTGCAGTCATGTGCCTATAAACTCAGTTGGCCTGAAATGCTTTACAAACACCATAAACCTTCCCCAAACTGTGAACCTCGACGCCCATACAACAAACCAAAGAGCCGACTGTACCTCTTCAACACATCAGGCATGAGAGACCACGGTCACTCCCCGCTCTCTTCCCTCCTCCTTCTCCGTTACTACCACCCCTAATATGGGCATAACATTTACCCACAAAGCACCGCCCACTTGTGATAGCCGCCATTCCGATTGGAGCAGCGGACGTCAATCTTCAGCGCACCCAGGACACCGCTGTTGTACATGGCCTCCCAAATACTGTCAACAATTACAGCTGTACGAGCTACATTTAAGCCGGATTGGAAGCCGAGAAAGGGTAAGACGGCATTTCACAATGTTATTATTTTAGGACAAGGTTGCCAGATGCCCGGAGTTCTGTTTTCTGTACGTTGATCGATTGATGCGATCTCAGCGCCCTCTGATATAAACCGTATTATAGTCATTTGCATAGCAACACGTCCATTCATCCTTTTGGGCTTGCCAAAAAGCTAAAAACTAAAGAAGCATCCAGTATTTTTTTTGTTGTTGTTGCATTCGCGTACGTTTCTAATATTGTTTTGAATCTAACCTCACGATGTGGCCAGCTAATAAGGATAACTGCGGATCTGCCTTTAGCCTGTCACCCTTTTAAGACAACCTTTAACCTTTTGCTGGCCCTGCCTTCAACAAGTACTTGCCCCTGAACTCAGATCAAATGCAGACTGTGACTTTACATTGGCAATCTGTTTGAATTTGTGTATTATCACTAACTTGAGAAACTTTTTTTTCCCCCTAATATCTGTTGAATGTGTGCAGGCTTGTGTTTCTGATGTCCAAGTACAAACTGTTTCTGCTGAGGCATGGGGAGGGGAACTGGAACAAGGAGAACCGTTTCTGTAGCTGGGTTGACCAGAAGCTGAGCGAGGATGGGGTAAAGGAGGCCCAGGACTGTGGAAGACTCCTGAAGGAGCAGGGCTACAAGTTTGATTTAGTATTCACCTCCATACTCAGCCGTTCCATCCAGACAGCATGGCTGGTTCTGGAGGCCATGGGTCAGGAGTGGGTCCCTGTTGTGAAGTCTTGGAGACTGAACGAGCGCCATTATGGTTCTCTGATTGGCCTGAACCGGGCGGAGATGGCTCTACAGCATGGAGAGGAAAAGGTAAAGCGGTGGAGACGGAGTTATGACATCACGCCACCTCCAATTGATGAATCCCACCCTTACTTCCTGGAAATCTACAATGACCGTAGATACAGCACATGTGACGTAGCCAAGGAGAACCTACCCCGGGCAGAGAGCCTGAAGGAGGTGCTGGACCGGCTGCTTCCATACTGGGGCAGCACTGTGGTGCCAGAGATAAGGAAAGGCAGGACTGTGCTCATTTCTGCGCATGGAAACAGCTGCAGGGCTCTGCTGAAACACCTGGAAGGTATGCTACTGAATTGACCCAAAGCTATTATAAACAATAGTCTCCCTCACACAGCTTTGTCTTTTTGTGACAAATGCAGATAGTTGAATTCAGCTGTTTCTAGTCATCAGAGTCATTGAATTGGAAGAACATATTCCAGCTCCAGAAATGGCAGGTTGAACTTGTGCAAAAAGGCCAGAGAGTTTATGTTACATTTGGATGACCTTTCATCACACTCATAAGCTTAGGAGGCTCCTCCTGCCATAGGACACCCAACAACTCAAATGTTTCATAAAATGATGCAGGCTGCAGCACAGGATATATACATGCAGATTACATTTTTGATAATAAACTATCATGGTCCTGTAACAGAATTGTGGTATTTAGTACTAATGAAAAATAAAAGACTTCCATTAAGCCTGCTTATGGTTAATGTCATGCCCTGTGTGATCCTAACTTGTCTCCCCTTTTTTTCAACAGGTATATCAGATGCGGATATCGCCAGTGTGACTTTACCTACAGGGATACCTGTTCTGCTTGAACTGGATGAAAACCTGAAACCTGTGAAACCTCGGCAGCTCTTGGGAGACCAGGCAAAGATTCAGGCGGCAATTAAAAAGGTGGAGGACCAGGGAAAAGCCAAACCATCAACCTGAATGCACTTAACTGCCTGTAAGACTTCAAATAGCTCGACTTCCTTGTGCACACTTTTATTAGGTACGGTAACACCTCTTAAAGACCCAGAAATAACAAATTTAATAACACCAGATAGGAACAACAAGTTGTTGCTTCTACGTAAAGGATGTTTTGTAAAGAAAGTCTTACAGTGTAGTTGCTGTAGGTGTAATATTGGTCTGGCCTGGATACAGAGCTTGTGTGTCACTGGTCAGACTGGTGTGACAGGGGCAGGAGAAAGTTCAGAGATGTACTGTAAATGTTTATGCACTGTGTTGAGCTGTGTTATGTGTAAGCACTGAGGAGGAGTTTGGTTGTGGCTGATTTGTATGCTAACTGTCCCAACTTATGCCTGTACTGTGACCCTAACGTGGTTATTTATTTATTTACTAGTTAACTACCTTGCTTATCAAAAGTATTGTGGTGGAACTGAACTATCTTAATATTTGAAGCTCTTCTGTTACAGTGAAAAGCTTTAGGAGTATTACCTTGCGTGTGTGCCTTCGGTATGAACATGGTGTTTATCTTTTCTTTTTTTTTTTAAATCATTTTATTTTCAGTAGAGCTTCAAAAGCTCTTTAGGGTGTTAATATTAGAGTGAAAACACTCTGTTCAGAAATCTTACCTCATAGACATTGATAACCAGGCTGTTCATTCCAAGAGCAAGAAAATGTGAGCCACTAAAGTGCTGTAATTTTGAGATACCCTCTGCTTTCCCAAGCATTTGTTACTTTGGCCTGTTCAATATGAGTGAGTTGGATTGCTGGAGTTTTTTTTTTTTTTTATTAGTTTTTTTTAAAGGTTTACATAGCAAAATAACTTTTACTTGCAAACACCCATGGCTCTCTGGTATGATAGCTGCTTTGTGTTTGACACACAGAATATTACGAGTATATATTTTATATGACTTCCCCTTTAAATGAAATTGAACTACTGTGAATGGTAAATGCCATGGCTTTTGTATGCGCTTTAAAAGTTCAGTCTGAAAAAAAAAAAACAAGCGATGTTTTGGTTTTTATTTCCAATTCTCAAATTTTATCAGACGTGCAATTTGTATTGCTTCTGTAATGTTTATCGCAAGCTGGAAATGTTACGACTCACACTTGAGCTGGCAAATTTAGCCTCATACAAGCACTGTGTTAAGATTCTACTGTGTGTGGCAAGAGCTACTTCACTGTGTTGTATGGTATAACGTGTCTCATGTTGGTGTCCTGATTACCTTGTCCTTTTTGTTGTGTTTCTCTGCCGCTGTTATTTTGTTCACTATTCTGTTAGGTCAACTGGAAAACAGGCAAAAACATGCATTTGTAAATACTAAAGAGTCATAACTGATATATTTAATGTCTTCCCTGCTGTTCACACTTCACAATCCAAGCGTCTCCATGATTAAATAAAAGGGACAAATCTTTCATTGCTGTCTAATGTGTCAATTTGAAGCTTTTTCTTTATCTGATAATTTATCATTTTGCGAGAAGACATGTCAGATATCACGCTGGCAATAATGTCGATACAAATATTGTCATGGGGCAATGCGGAACAATTAGAAAAACAAACAAAAAAAAATGGTTTGGCAGTACAGACATGCCTGCAATTTAGATTCTGGTCACCTTCAGCCCACTGGAACACACTGACACAGATGGATGCAGAGGAGTGGCCCTTCTTTTCTCAACCATCTCTGTAACTTTGCCAAACCAGTGAGGCTGAGCCAGAGAGAAACCCTCTAATTGGATGCAATTGCTCTTAAAAGGACACAATGAACAGCATGTATTTGGCAGCAGTGGTTCTGTGTATCTTGGTACACATGCTACTGTATGGATCACATGTCTGTACCAGCAAACTAATCATGTATTTCAAAGGACCGTCATCCTGGTATGTCATTCAATCAGACTGCTGTACTACAGAATCAGTTTTATTGATCTATAACACTGAAGGAGTTGGATTCTGTTTTATGGCTCTAAATATGATACACTAAAAATAAATCTAAAGCTGAACTAAAGGTATTCTTTAGTCAGCACTCTGTGTACAAGCACGTATAAGAAAATAAATGTAAATTCACACAGCGTAAACAGATATAAAAATAACAATGGCCTATGGTTGTGCTACTGGGGGCGGCTTGGTGGGGGCCTAGTTGGTGCCTCTCTGATGGCTTTCTCTGGCCCAGCACTTCATTGCTGTGAAGGCTCATGGTGGATGGTGTGGCACTGTAACATTTTGGTTGCAGTTGATTATTATATCACATTTGTTGTATGATTGCTGTGCAGTATGGTATAAGAGTTTGAGGGAGAGAAATAATAATAATATTGTTTTCTTCATGGTGGCATTCTGTGGCCTAAGTTGTAGGTGGCAACTGTACTTTTGCCTTATAATGGTGTGTACAGTACGTCCGAATGGACTGGTGATTATTGCATCTGTGTCTCATTATCTTTTAGATTTTGCCCTGGAGTATGATCCCTGTGCATTGAGAGTGTGTGTGCATGTGTGTGTGTTTGTGGGTGAGTGGATGGGTGGGTACGCTTGTGTGTGGGGAGCTGGATGTTTAACTTGTTATGTGTCATTAGGCTATGTATTCGTGTGTTTAATTGTAATGTTACTCTTCTTTTGCTTTCATTCTGAGTCTTCTAAAGACCGATCTCTCAAGTTCTCAAGGTTGTCCATTGCTCTGGCAATTGACTCTCTATATGCCTGTAAAATTGTCCTCCCCGTTTTGTCCTTTGTGTCACTGTTACACTTGTTTTGTTATTTCACGAATAAAAGGGAAAGAAATAATAATAATGATGGCCAACGTAAATGAAAAGGTCTACATAGGTGGGTTGTTTTACTGTACGTTGTTTAAAATACAAACTGTTAAAGATATAATATTGAATGTTTATACACAGATATGTGTATGTGCTGAATGTACACAGCATGTACAGTGTCAGCTCTTTCATTTGAGATTTTCCATCACAACTTTTATTCTCACAGGCAAGAAGCAGGTGAAAAACATTTTCAGCTTGTTGTGAAAATGCCCTAAATATGATATTTCAGGACAATATTTAAAAAAGAAAATAACTTTAAAAAGGTGTGAATTAAAGTAGAAAAGAAAGAACCCTTACAAACGTACTTTAAATACTGTTTTTAAAAAGACCATTTCATAATACAACAGACTGTTACTACCAAATATGATTTAATTAAAAAACTACTGTTTATAAATTACAGGATTCAAATGCACTACAATTTAAATACACATCAGCCCTGTGTGAATATCACAGAGTATCACTCTGAGCAGGCGGAGCTGAACTCTGCACACTGTGCTTATAAACCTCTGGTTGCTCTTCCACTGATGTTTTCAAGCAAGAAGTCACTTTGGTCACTCTGCCAGGTAAGTTTGATGATGATCATTTGTAATGTTTTTTTTTTTAACTTAATGCCGATAGAGGGGGATATCAATTTTTGGGTTGTGAGTTTTATTTTATGATTTGTATGTTTACCAGATAAATACGAGCCACTTACACCGTGAAGTTTTGCTAGCCTTCATACATCATTTGATGTCAAGACTCAATCTCAACCACCTTGTTCAGGTTGGAACAGATGCTCTTAATAAATTACTACAACTGTTTTCTCTCCGCTCCTCTTAAAAGGACTAGAGAGGGTGATGAAATGTCTCCTGTCTTTGTCGTAAATGAGGACACATCCTTAAGGGCTGACGTTCACTTCCAAAGAAACTGATTTTTATCTTGAAACAAAGTCAGAGCAGAACAGAAAACTGAACAATACAAATAGCCAAGAGGGACATTTGATAGTACAACACATTTTCTGTTTTAACAAATGCATTGTATTCTTCATCAAATATACTGAACTTGCAATAGAAAGGTCATTTCAGTGAAAGGTCATCGACTGTAAATATCTCCATGCAAAATGATTTTGAAGGTTGAAAATATGAAATATGTTTCTAAATTGGGATAGGAATCGAAAAACACAGCATCTCAAGTGATTGTGAAAGATTTGACAACATGTCTCATTCCCTTCTCCCCTGGTTCCTTGATACTAAAGCACTTGAATCTGCTCTGTTGCACTTAGTAAATGCCATAACTTTACATGCGTTTTTAAAACATTGAGCAGAAGTCTGGCAGTGGAAAAGTTGTTTGCCGTGTTTAACAACTCAGACTCCTATTCCTTAGATGGTATTGAAGATAAAGGCTACAACCACACATGGTCGGAGTGTGTGTGTATGACACTTCCCTCTCTGGAGACTGGAAATGTGTTTGTGTGTTAAGAGACCATCCTCTCCTCTTCCAGATTACTGAAATCAGGATTACTTTGTAACAAAGACTTAAAAATATGTTATACTGTGAAAAAAGCTATATTAAATTAGCCCAATCCAAAAACCACCATCAACAGAGAGACTGTGTAAAATAAGTTGACCAAAAGAAGAGAGGACTTGAAGTATTCCAATAGTGACAGAGTCATTCATAGGTAATCAGTCCACCATCAAGTCTAATAAGATGTAAAGAGAAATATTTTTTTAATGACCACCAGAATAATTTAGGATTTATTTGTTTAAACTTAAAATTCTAAAAATCTTAGTATCAATGACAATCAGCCTTTTAGCTGCACTCTCTGCCTCCCAGCAGCATTATGTAAATCATAATTCACCATCACAGTGGAAATCGGTTATTCTTAGATTGTCACTTTGTACAGCAGCAGGTATTTCCTAGTGTAAACCATGCTAACTGACCATGGCCCTAAACTCTGCCAAGCAGGGACACTACAACTAACACTGCCTGTGTGCTTCCTTAAAAGGAGGCCTAGTTCACCATCTCAGCTGACGGGATGCAGAACAGGGAGTGTACGTACTGCATCTATTTCCTTTAAGTGGCCAGGCAAGGAGGAAACTAAAACTACACCTTAGAGTCGATTGAATTAGTCTCTTCTTATCTCTAGTTGCAGTCATTGAAAAAATAAAGCAAGTAGGCAGAAGTTTATACTTTTTTAGTTTACACCTGCCAGTAAATGATGGACTACTTCTGTCCTTTTGCTTCTCAAAACAAAGCTGAGCTGCAGAGCGCGGGGGGGGGCTCCCACTGAGCATGCTGCATAAAGAGGATATGATGCTTTCAAACCTACAGTTTACCAGAGGATGGTTACCAGCCATAAAATAAGAAACATCCTCTTTTAATTATACCATACTTAAACAGTTTATTAGAGCAGAAGAAAAGGTCATTATTACAGTATGTTGTGGTTTGTGCACCGTGTGGAATTTGTTCCCTGGTCAGAGACTTTTTCATATGTGACCATTTTTGGTCATGTGGAGTAAGCGGCTGTTTCTTCTTGATTGATTGCAAACGCCTCTGAGGCAACAGTTTATTCTATCAGGGTGTGTAAGCACTTTCTTTACCTTTTAACAAGGACTGTGTCGGATTTTAGGATGTAGAATTATCTGAGAATAAACACATATAGTTTGTATTTAGGATAATATGTATTTCAGGGCAAATGATGATGAGGATCTAAAGTGGTAGTAAAAAAAAAACTGTCTTAGTTTGTTTCCTTCACTATTTAAGCACTTTAAGGCAAACACTTTTAGATTGTCAGGCTTAGAAAATCTGATTTCCTTGCTGTCTCAGAGCATCTTCTGCCAGCATGTTCTCGATTGGTATTCACGTTTGATTTGCTCTACATCATGATTCAATGTTTAAATATTGGAGTGATAAAGATAGCAACATAGTCTGGAGAGACAGTACTGTGACATAACAATTAATCATCTTAATGCCAGAAATTGGGCATGAATGATAATGTAAACGTCTTTGGAAATTAGCTCATAGGCAAACACCTTCTAGCTCTAAGGCCTAGGAGTTGTTAGAATAGTGATTGACAGTGAGCATGTAGAGGTAGAGAGAGAGAGGTGCTGCACTAGCTTTTTAACTGTGAGCAGGCCACAAGAGGGGAGAGCGTTGTAAAAAAAAATGTCAGACATAAACAAGGGAAATCCATTGTAATATCAAAGTTTGGAGCTTTCCTGGGCTGTTTCCATGTCAGTTACATTTGTATATACCTAAAATGCCAAATCCATCAGTTCTTTATCTGAATTGGACGAATGAAATTTGGATTATTTTAGTGTAAGATGAATAATTCAACACAAACAGCACACTTACTATTCATACAAATCACCAGTCAGGTGAAATGCAGGACTGCAGTGGCTCACTCAACAGCTCACTGACATGTCTGCGAGCTGTTAGACTGCAGGTCATTGGGTCTCTGTGTGCTGATCTACAGATTCCATAATGATCCAGCTCCTGTCTCAGAAAAATGGACTATGCTATGTTCAAGGGACATTCTGAAGCCTCACATTTGGTCTTTTGGATGTCGCCATCTCTTTTTTAAAGCCAGAATTGACCATGGTGAACAAGAAGTTGAACCTGAGACTACTTGTATGTATAAAATTACCAGAGCTTAGCCATGATAGGCGTATAATCACTTTGTTTGCATTGGCAATAAATGAACATTTTGGACACATTGTCATTTAAATGTCATGGCAATGGATAAAAAAGGACACTACATACTGAGAGGGTCAAGACTGAGGGTAAAAAAATACATTAATCATGTTAAGAGACTTTAAATGTGTGCACATTTTCTGGGGGATTTCCACCATTATTTAAATTTATCCTCTTGGCCAGATGAATGTCTTTACCAAGGCAGTGGACTGACCAACTGGCCGACATAGTGAGAGCAACGTCACTGGAGTAGCTCAACGTGCCATATTTCTTTGTTTTTTTCATATATTTTTCCGTGTTTTAAATAAGCAACAAAAAGTTCTCCAAACCTTTTGTCTATGTAACATCAATTGGGTTTTAAATACTCACTTACCTGTTTTCCAGGGAAGTACGTGTATAATAGTATTTTGCTTTTCCAGGAAAGCTCTCAAATGTCTCGTTTCCTGTGTGAGTGTTTTGGAAACAAACCTTATTTGACCCATTCAATTTGAATTCCTATGGCATTGGCCATATACAGTCTGTAAAAACTAACTGTTTTATCTCTGTGTCCCACTTTGACTGGCCGTTCACTGTTGGTGGGCTCCTCTTAAATTCTAAAGTTGAGGATCTCTACATAGAGTATGATAAAGCAGTTGCCCTTCTTTTGAACCTCAAATGATCGAGACTGATACTGGCAGCTTGACGACTTTGGACGAAAATATGTTGCATGTAAGTCCTATTGAGGAGGATTTACGCAGCATTTTTATGGGGTACAATCAAATAAAGAAGGAAAAAAGTGTCTGTGTGCACTCAGATCATCAAAACAAATCAAACACTTTTTTGTAGAGGAAGATTTCTTCATGGTGTCAGGCCAGAAACGTTCCACGTATCATTTTTTTTCATCATGTGCTCTAATGTCAAATGGTTGAAATTAAATGTGTACAGTATGTGTGGAACAAAATTCTTGCACAAATGTTTGACATTTGACTTATACAGGTTGATTGGAGGCCTGTGTCCAGCTCCACTGAACTCATTTCATATTCATTAAATGTTTAAGGTCCAGATCAACCTTACTTGTCTTTCTCACAAAATAGATTTCACATGTGTTCATATCTCAACAGTGAGTTCTTGAGTTGTAAATGTTTCTGTAATAGTTCAAATATAACTGAAATATTTATATTTATAACAATAATGGCTGTACAGTAATGTGTGTATCAAATGTTGTTTAGTTAATGATCTTTGGAAAGTTATCCAGAAGACATCCAGTTATTGAACAATACTAATCAATCATTGGTTTGTCACACACAGTTGTATCTAGGCAAGTTGTCTTACAGACTCCTTCCAAGCGTATGTTTGATATATCCTCTCTTTTATTTGTGATCATTTAGAAAGATTGCACAGAAAATGATGAGGGTTTGCACATCATGAGATTTACTGAACCATCTAGAAATCTTTATTAGTTTAATTCTTCCATCATCCAATGAGTGGGACAGACTTCCTAACTTTACTGCATTACACTGCTTTTGGTGGCTGGAGTTGCTGGCAGACTTTTTTTTTTATAAACAGGGTGGTTAAAAGATTTTAAGTTTTTTGAAAGTGTTTAAAAAAAGTATTATTTTATATTGGATTTTATCAGCAGTAGTTTGGAAATGGCAATCAAAGGTGTTGACAGTCCTATTGAAGTAGTTATATGGACTATTCAACTATTATTGGATGTCAGGCATGTTGTGGAGAATAAAACAAGACAAACCAAGGGAAACCATTTGGAAGAGTCTGTATTCAGAGATCAGGGAGTAACAGTGAGACAGAGGGAGAGAGCAGGAGTAAGGTTGAGGAGGAGGAGGAGGAGGAGGAGGGAGGCTGAAGGAGAAACAGAGGAGAGCACAGAGGCAGGCTTTGCCTTTTCTGGTAGTTAAAGTGGCTGAAAGAACAAGCAGGAATTCTTCATGTAGCAGAAGGGCTGAGATAAAAACCAGACTGTAGAAGTTGATGTATGCAGAGAGGGGAGACGCTGCTTTTCATGGACTAAACTTCAGCTACTGTTAAGGTATTATAAACCAACAGATGTCATGTAGATCCTTATGTTACTATCTGTGTCATGATGCTGTGTTGGGGGGGGGTTTACCTTTAGTTTGATGGGGTTCTGAATAATTTACGGATTACAATTGACTTGAGCATGTTTATTGTCTAAGTGATGCTTTGACTTTGTATTAAACCTGAGAAAGTAGTGAAATAAACATTATGATGAAATGACATAAACTCCAGGATTGTAAGATACAACTGTATGAAAAAGTGCCACAGTAGAGCAGCAATCAGAACATGTTTTTTTTCTCCTGATGAAACGTTGCTGATCAAGTATAAACCAAATTCATGAAATAAATGTAGCACAAAATGATCTGATATAAATATGTGTCTTGCAGTGAAAAATTTAGGAGAATCTTTTGGGCATCATGGAGGATGACTTCGACCGCCGCATGGAGCTGAGGAGGCAGAGGAGGGAGCAGATGCGCCTTGAGGAGAACAGGTGGGCAAAACCTCTGGGAATATATCAGCATTTGTCAATGTTAAAGTTTTAACACGCACTAAATTCAGTAAAATAAAACTGAATTCATGGAGTCAATTGTACAAATGGGTTGAAAGTATATCTACTCTATAACATTGTCAGCTTCATTACGTTGATTATTTGGTTCTTTAGCTCAAGACTCACAAAAAAACACAAAACATTTTTAGCTTAAGTTTACCTTTTGGTCATAAGTAGCTCACATTCCCCGCCTTTAACTTTTCTAAACTTCATGTGAGGTTGTTTCCAAAGTTATTACCAAACAGCTGCTGACAGGGAAGTCCCTTTTAAGATGTGCACGGGTGTTTAATTCAAATGGATGCAGCACAAACTATATCAAGTGTATTTGTGAATGTGTCCGTCCTGTGCAGAGCAGACAGGACTTGGATGGTGTTCAGGCGATGACGGTTTAATGATCTCTGCTGCCTTTTTTCACTCATCGGGGAGTCAGTCTGCTGTGCTGCTGTTTGGATTTGTCTCCTGCTCTCTGTTGCCTCCCTCCCTGTCGCTCTGTGCTTAGATAAACAGAAAAATACCAGTAAGAGTTATTGTTGACATTTAGAAGTTAAATTACTTGCTCAAGACAAATAAAAGATTTAGACATAAGAAAAAACACCTTTGTGAATACTATATGTGGGTCCAAATTCATGAAATCTTCTAAACTAAATGCTGGTTTTTGGGATTGGGAATTTGAGCAATAATTACAGTAGAACTGATTAATGTCTCCTTTTCACTCATTGAATAAAACTTAACCTAATAGGCTCTTATTGACAAAAAATAATGACCTGCTTTTGCACAAATAATAAACCTTATTAAATGGATGTAAATTCATTCTTTTTTTTACGTACACATTTGGATCAAATGGCCTTTGAGGCCAACACAGACAGGTTTCAGAGATATTGGCAGATGAAGGTGCATATTGTTTGTTTTTGTTCTTTCATTGGATACATTTTTTTTTTCTTAACTGCAAAGATTGTATAGCGACTTAATAACAGAGATGTTAACAATAATTTAATCTCAACACTTTACTTTGTCCCAGCTCATAAGACATTGGCTGTCATATCCGATGTCTGATCTGTGTCCCAGTGGAAAAATAGGCGTTCCTGACTATTTTTCTCACAGTCCTTCTGGCAGCCCTGCCAGCAGTACCAACACAGCCTGCCTTGCCTTTTCCGCCCATCAGCACGCTGGAATGTTTTGCCTGCCATTTTTATTCTAGCTCAAGATAGCTTTCTCTGAAACACTTTGGATTCTGCTTGATTGATTTGGTTGTTTTATCCTTCATCTCCCTGATTTCTCCCACATCATGAGAGGTTCTCATCATAATCACTTAACGCTTCTTACGTTTTTTTTGTTGTAAATTTAACTGCAACATTTTGACATTACAGCTTTTGCCTTGCTTAAGGTAGCCATTGGGGTCATTCTGATCTATTTGAATACCCTTCATTTCTTCAATGTAACATTTAGGTTTCCGACACATGCGGAATATTACGTTTTCCCTTTGTTGTAGTGTCTCCCATCAACCGCCATGGCTTACAAAGTTAGCTTTAAATAGTGTCACTGACATCATTGTTTCATATCAATATAATGAGGGGTTATAAGGTACCACCATTACACAAAATAATGTTCATATTAGAGATCTTTACCTTTACCAAGGTTGCATTTCAGTGCCGGCTGTTTCTTGGCGTAGTTCATTTCGGTCTGTATGTTTGTAGAGTTACTGAAAAAATTACAGGACCAGATTATACTCAAATCAATCAATATTCTCAATCAGAAATAGTGGATCAAACACTTGAGAGAAGCAATTTATGGTTATCAGTGGTTACCAATTTGTATATCATAAAAGACTCAATTATTGGCTGGCTGAGGTCTTCCTCTTCAAATGCCCTTCTGGTTGTCTGAAAACTTTAAAACACTGAAAACTTAAAGCTCATGTTTGGAATAACATCCTTTAAATGATTTACTCATCAAACAGCTTGTGAAGCCGGGTAGTTCAAGTTATTTACATCACCTCACGAAGGTTTTTTTATGTGCTCAAATACAGTTGAGGCAAGTTTGCTGGTAGAAAAAAATGCAATCTTTTCACAATACATTTTAGAAAATGTATATACATTAGTGGATATATAGTACTATTATAAATATTAGTACGCCTTTTAAAACACAACTATAAGTCAGTGCCTGTTGCTTTGTAAGTTACAGTGATAATACAGTAATAAGAAGCATGAAGGGTTTAATGTTCTTACATAAAACTTATGTCACATTATTAATTCTTCTTCTTTCATGATTATATGAAAATGATTTCTTTATGTGTCATTTCTCAGTGTTGGTTTCACCAATGACGATGATGAGGAGGAAGCTCGAGAGCGACGGCGTCGTGCGAGGGAGGAGAGAAAGAAGATGAGGGACTCGGAGGAGTCTGGATCCACCGATGTGATTAACACTAGGTACGGTGAAAACAATCTTTCTGGGTAGAGACTAGAGCGTATAACACAGTGTAATGGGACAAACCAGGAAAACAAGAGGAGAAAGAGATTCAGAACTCGCGCCCTATGTACCGAAGCTGTAGTCTTCACCGCAGTGGACGTTCAAATCCGACCTCAGCCCTTTGTTGCATGTCATCCCTCACTTTCTCCTCTCAACATTTCTTTTCTCTCTTCAGATGTCCTACACATGAAGGCTAAATTGCCTAAATGTGTTTATCAATTTTGATTGGATAAAAATATCCAGTTCCAAAAGGGATTTTGAGATCATTCTTTGATTCAGCATGGATTTCAGGCTTGGCTGTTCTCATGAACAAGTGAATCTAATTTTCTTACAGTGTGATTGAAACCGATTCCACCACCGGAGGTACAGATGATGACCAGGCTCTGCTGGACCGGCTCGCTAAGAGGGAGGAGCGCAGGCAGAGGAGGATGAAGGAGGCCATGGAGAGACAGAAGGATCTTGACCCCACCATCAGCACCACCAATGGTACGGACAGCACACCCGAAGAGGAATCCTCAGTCAGCAGCAGCAGACGGGAACATACAGAGGAGGAGGAGGAGGAGGAAGAGGAGGAAGAGGAGGAGAAGAAGGAGGAACCAGCCCAAGAGGAGGTGGCAGAAACGGATACAAACTCCTGGAAGAAGGAGGATGAGGACAAGAACGAGGATGAGAAGGTTATAATGTAAAATGTGTTCAGATTGTTTTAAGTGAATTTATTAGTTTTAGCTAATGTCTCTGTCTTTTTCTGACAGGAATCTGTTGAGGAATCAAGAACAACAAGCACAAGAGATGAGGTAAGGTCTTTAATTGTAGACTTTGCTTCATTTTGTGGCTATATCTGCATGAACATTGACACAAATCTCACTTATTTTATAGGAGACTGAGGAGGTGGCTGCAGCAGCTGAAGAGGAGATGGAGCAGAAAGATGCTGAAGAGAAATCTGTGGAAGAAGACGAGGAAGAAAAAGAAAGAAATAGGAGAGCAGAAGAGGAGAGAAAAGAACAGGAAGAAAAGCTGAGGACAGAAGAAGAGGAAAGGCAAACAAGGGAAACTGAAGAAAAGCTAAAGAAAGAGGAGGAGGAGAGACAGCTGAAGGAGGAGGAGGAAAGGCAGAGGAGGGAAGAGGAGGAAAGCCAACAGAAGGAGATGGAAGAGAGGCTAAGAAAAGAGGAGGAAGAAAAACAGAAACAGGAGATGGAGATGGCGGAAAAACTGAAGCGAGAAGAAGAGGAAAGACAGAAAAGGGAGATGGAAGAGAGACAAAAGAAAGAGGAAGATAAACAAAAAAAAGAGATGGAAGAAAAGAAGAAAAAAGAAGCGGAAGATAAACGGAGAAAAGAAATGGAAGACAAGAAGAAGAAAGAGGAGGAAGAAAAGATGAAGAAGAAAGAGCTAGAGGAGAAGAAGAAGAAAGAGGAGGAGGAGAGACGGAAAAAGGAGATGGAAGCAAAAAAGAACTTGGAGGAGGAAAAGCGGAAAAAGGAGGCTGAAATAAAGAAGAAAAAAGAGGAAGAGGAGAAACGCATCAGGAGAGAGATGGAGGAGAAAAAGAAAGAGGTACTGACTTGGTTCACAAACTATCTCCTTAGAAACCTGGAAGCCTCAAATGAATATGCTCTTATTAATCTGAAAAGTAACAGAATCCACTCTAATGTAACACAAGCCCTTAATCTATAAAATCAGATGACATATTTGAACTATCCAGGTTCTGTTTTAGCTCAGCAGTTATTTACTCTACGATATGTTTTCTGTTAACCAATGTTTTGTTTGCCACATGGATAAAATATGTAGCGAGGTGTCAAATTGTAATTAGTGTTCAGTTTACATCGGTGTCTACTTCACTGCCCGGCCTCATATTGCATCCTTGTTTGGTGGTTGTATGTTTAACGAGTGTTTCCATTTGGCCTCTGTTTTTAGTAGTTTTAATAATATTATGTCTTGTTTTAAAAGGAGGAGAAGCCAAAGAGATTTGGTTTTAAGGAAAAGGTAAACCAAAAACTATTTGTCATTCAGTTTACGAAATGCATGTTTCTGAGATAAGGAAGCTAAAGTGGAAGTAGTCAAATTGACTTGTCCCCTTGTTTTCTCCTCAAAAAAGGAACCAGCCAAACTGAACGGATCCCTTTTTGAGAACAGACTTAAGAAAACAGAGAAGACATCAAGGTAAAGTTGGAAAGACAGAATATGACAGTGATATGATAGAAGGCTTATAGTAATAGTTTGGTTTGTTTGAATTAGGATGTATAAGATACTTGTCGATTATAAGTGATACATATAGTAGACGACAGTCAGCTCTGTCCCTGTTAGGAGAAATAGGCATGAGTTTCTATATGGAAGCTAAGCTATGAACTGTTGTGGACGGGGTCATAAGAGACACTTAATAAAGGCATGAAGAAACGCATTTAGTTTAAGTGTACCCTACATGTTTTCATATTTTCATCATCATATCAGGCATACCATTCTTGAGCAGTATGTATAAAATGGCAGTGTTAGAAAAAAGCCTGAGTTTCTGAATGAGAGCATCATAAGCCCAACTTGGTTCCTAAATCAACATTATGTTTGCTCTGAAATTTGACTTAAATTTGAAAATTTAGATTGAGATTTTAGTGTCATTCGGTTAATTTCATATATTAAATGATCATTTAATAATCATGAGTGTTGTGTGACAGTGTTCCCTCCACCAAGGCCGATGACGCAGAGCGACAGGAGGCCGAGCGTAAGCTGCAGGAGCTGAAGCGCCGACGAAACAACGCAGAAAGCGAGGAGATGGAAAAGATGAAGCAGAAGCAGCAGGACGCAGAGGCCGAGCTGGAAGGGCTGAAGAAGAAGAGAGAAGAGAGGAGGAAGATCATGGAGGAGGAGGAGAGGCAGAAGAAACAGGAGATGGAGGAGAAGAAAGCCAAAGAACAGGTGAGGGTGGTGCTTCACTTTCAGGAACTAAGTACGCAAATGAAATATTGCCAATTTGGAAATGTTAGCGTGACTTTGTTAAAAAGTACGATTTTGTTCAAGAGGCCATTTTTAAGCCCCTGAAGAGGAATTTGTTTGTTGTTCCAATGAAAAAAGTGTGATTTTAATTTTTGTTTTTTTGTTCTTAACAGGAGGAGAGGAAGAGAATGAAAGAGGAGATTGAGAAAAGGAGGGCAGAGGCTGCAGAGAAGAAGAAAATCATGGAAGAGGTGGTGTCTACTAAACCCTCCTTTGCTATCAGTCCCAAAGGATCATCAAAGGTATTTTGTTTAAGAAAAAAAATGTTCCGATACAGACAAATTGTTTTCCAGCAAGAAAATACAGTAATTGTCTTTAATTCTGTCTGCAAGATGATAGGTCAAATTTATGTAAAGCAAATTTTGTTTTGCAGTTTTTCTCTAGATCCTATAGTCTTTATCCAGCAAACTTGAGACTCATGGAAGTCAAATGTTCCAAGAAATAGTTCAGCAATGTAATTTCCTGATAAGTCAGCTGTCAAGAATATGAAAAAAGATGTGAGCTGGCGCCTGTGCTGTAATCAAATATGGTTGTAAAAAAAAAGGACCCTGTCTGGGTAATTTTGTTGTTGGAGTATTTTTGGAGGAATGCTGAAAATTGTGTGAGTGGCCATGTTTTACTGATGTTGTGGGGACTTTAAAACAAAATCACATTATGGGGACCCGCCTTCCTATTGAGTACAAAATGCAAATCAATACGTTTCAGTGTGGTGACAGGTTTAGGTTACATTTAAATATAACTTAGGGTTGAAGAGTGGAAAAGTTGTGGTAAGGTAAAGATTAGAGACAATAAACATACGTCAATGCAATGTCCTTTGAATTCATGCAAACAGGAATGTGTGAGTATGAGTGTTTGCACTTTTGTGTGTGTGAGCAGTGTGTGTGTGTGTGTGTGTGTGTGTGTGTGTGTGTGTGTGTGTGTGTGTGTGTGTGTGTGTGTGTGTGTGTTTTTCTGCATGTGTATCCTTGCTGCCAGACAACCAAACTCTCCAGTTTGGTCTCTGGGGCACCAACCAAGTCAGTGCTCAGAGAACTTTTCAAGCATAGGCTGTTCTGTCTTCCACTGAGGTTGTCTTGGAAACAAGTAGAAAGTCAGGGCAGTTTGAACATGTTAGAAAGCATTTGTGCATTACAATGAAAGGCTGTTTTTATCATTTTAAACTATGCTGGTTTGTACAGATTGGAGAAAAGGCAGAATTCTTGAACAAATCAGCCCAGAAGAGGTGAGCCATACAAGGTATTTTAGAGTAAAATAAAGACACTCCTATATTTGGTCACCCTACTAATGTCCAATGTGTTGTTCATCCACACAGCAGCACACCCAGAGTGTCTCACACTCCGATCATGTCCAAGATAGGAAACAGATTGGATCAGTACACTTCTGCCATCCAGGTGAGAGAACACTATTCAGTAGCATAAGCCAGAAGCAGAGGAATCAGACACTTCAAGGAAAGTAGCAACACAGCAATATAAAAATTGTCCATAACGTGTCAAATTCCTATAAGTCCTTCTTAAGTCAAAGAACAGACGTTTCTTTTATATAGGGTAGTTTGAGGTATAAGTTGCTAAGATATAAATGTTAATTTTAAATCTGGAAAATATATAGTTTATAAAGCTTTTTAATAAAGAAGTGCCCATGACACGCAGTCAAAAGCAACATCAAATTGAAGTAGAAATACTTAAAACTTGATTAAAATTACTTAGTTGCTTTCCGTTACTGATCCTAAGTCGACACAGCGATGTTATATCCAATGCAAAAATTAAATCCGTCCTTTCAACGACAGGGAAACAAAGAAGCGAAATCTCCAAAGTCACCAATGGCAGATATTACTACAGGAGGCACACGGAGCATCAAGAGCATGTGGGAGAAGGGCAACGTCAGCAGCTCCTCTGAAAGTCCACCCCCTGCTAACAAGGTGAGAGAGAGGAAGGAAAGAGGCACGAACAGAGATTCACTGACACATGCTTTAGTAACTGTGATGTCTCTTTTCCCAGGATGTGGCTGCTATCAAAGGAGGCGTGACTGGACGTGTCAACAGCTGGATGGCAAAGCCTGCAGACACGGAGAAGATAGCAACACCTTCACCCGCACCTGCACCTGCACCTGCACCTGCACCTGCACCTGTAGCGGCACCGGCAGTGGCATCACCACCAGCAAAGCCTGCAGTAAGGCCTAATAAATCCCTCTCTTAACCACACACACACGCTATTATAAATGAGACACCAGTGTTACATGAATAGAGTAATCCGTTGATATTCTGGACATGTTAACCTGATCATTTGCACATCAACATCCCACGTTGTTGGCTGCAGCAATTCTCAGACCTCTTGGTGTCGACCGAGTCGCTGCCTGGACTGCAGTGACACCACATGGGCAGCTTACTCAACAACGCTACTGCATACTAGTTTTTAGAAGATGTGAGAGATTTTATATACATGTATTTAAGCATACAAGTGGAAAATCATTGGCTGGAAGAAGAATATTATTCCCCCTTGTGTAGTCCACTCCCAAAGCACAGAGCAGCAGTTATGTGTCAAGAGGCTGAATGCCAAAATGCTTCCCTGCACAGCCGTTTCTACACCGCTCTGTACACACATCAATCACTATGCTGGTATTTTAAAATTATATTACAGTACACCTCAAGAATGAAGTACTTTTAAAGATTGTTTGTTGTCTTTTTCTCACTTAATGCCAACAATGTTCATGTGTAATTTAGGTATATTGGGATGGCCATTTACTTAGGGACATTCATTATAGAAACACTTTTTCCTGTTATACGAAACTGACATTTAAAAAAAGGTCACTGAATGATTAATTTGGATTTTTCTTAGTTGATATGAGTCAGACTAAGACAGGCTACTTGTAACTTGGTACTTGGTCGACATTGTGTCCTCTTCTCAAAGAAGGACACCAGCTGCTGTTCCCACCAGCTCTTCAAGTGGAGACATTGCACTCTCCAAGATGACGTGTGACATTGTTCTAGCTTGAAATTTATGCGTGAGATATCTTTGGGGTCAAACGTCTTGGCCAGAGGAACACTTATAACCTTACCCTTACTCATACGGCAACACCTCCCCCTAATGGGATGAAGCTGTACAACAGTCTAATGTCTCTATATTTCTGTCTCTCGTCTTTATTTTTACTGTAAGTTAAGTACTTACAACTTCAACTTTAGGGTACTTGTACTTAACAATAGATGTTTATTTTTTCTATACCATCTTTATACTTTGTAACTTTTAAGTGTGGAAGATTATTTCTACAATGATTTGTAGGTTTTTCATAAAAGATCAGAATACTATACTTCCTCCATTGTATGGTACTCATATGATTATGGCTGGTCTCACTCATCACACAGGATGGGAAACCAGGTGACATCGGTAACAAGCGTGGCATGTGGGAAACCAAGAAGGGCTCTGCACCTGGCAAGGTAACGCACACACACGGACATGCACACACTTGGAACTTTCTTCTGTGATGGAGGGGAGATTTTCAAGCTTTAAAGTAGTGACATGTTCCTGTTTTTTTTTTGTTTCATTCAGTTTACCAGATAAACGGGTGTCAGAGGTAATTTGTGGTTACAACACTTAATGCACGCCCACTGGCACAGAGTGACTGATATTTGTGGTGTCGACACTGTTTAATGCTATTACAACACGTGTGTTTGGTGCTGCCAGATTGGCAAGTTTCCACTTATTTGGGACACATTTTCTTTTGATAAATTGAGATACTTTTGTACTGTTTGGGTTTGATTTATTTCAATTAATCAAATCAGAGTTAATTCAATTATTCATATTCAGAGTTATAGCTCTAAAGCATGTTTCATTTATCTTAAACAGTATTGATATTATTGAGATTAGGCTCCAGTTTTTGACAATCCACTGACTGTTTGGTTGTTTGTTTTATTCATTTGCTCATTTTAAAAGGTAAGCATGTAGTGAAATTATATTAAAATATGTATAAACTATTTTTCATCGAGGGACTGTTTGAAAATATTTGGGGGAGTGTTACTATCTTTTTTTAAATAAGAGGCAGATGAGGGGAGTGTCTTTTACATTTTTTCGCATTCCCTGCAGTATAATAATTAACATATTAATAATTTCTTATTTGTTGCTTTTCTCTCTATTTCCTTCATTCTATCTAAAATACAGTTGGCAGCTGGAGTCAAGAGCAAGTTTACCACAAATGGTAAGTAACTTCATTGACTGCAAATAAGAGTTGAATGTATTCAAAATCTTGACTTTCCATTTTAGTCTACATTATACTTTCACTTCATTATTTATCAGCATAAATTGTTGCACTTTTCAATGCAAATATAAGCAAATAGTGATATATGATAAACTGCAATGTGAACCTTGACAAGCTCGGCATTACAATGCTGCCTATGTTGCATCAGGAATAATTATCCATGATAAATGAAATCATGCTTCAACATTCTGCTGCATAAGTACATTTAAATAGACAGAAAAGTTTCAAATCCAGGAAATCTAAAAAGCAAGAAATGCTAAACAATAAGCAACCCTGAACAGTTAAGTAGCGTAGCTTTGACTATAGGCTGAAAACATCTCGCTGGGCTCTGTCTGTGATTTAATCTACTTCTAAAACACAGCTAATATTAAAAGAAAATCACATTCGCTCTTTAACTATTAGTGACCCTTTGCTAAATGCTTGGCAACCCAATGGAGATTCAAACTAAAGCTCACAGACATTAAACTAGGCCAAATGGCTCAAGTGGCTCCAATTGACTTTCACCCTGCAGGTAAACAATGTCAAATTGGTTTGCAGAGTGTGGCTAGCATTAGCATAGGCTACCACCACCAGCCTCCCTACCCTCATTGCAGGTTAACATCCACTTGTCTGTTCAAAATGTGGTTGCACTGCTCTGGTTAACTTGCACTTCTTCCACAAGATGCCATCCATCCACAGTTCTGATTAACAACTGGGCATCACAGTGGGGAAAGTATGCCCATTTACCTGGAGCTACAGCCCCATCTAGTTGCTGGTGGCTGCGTTATGGCTTTGACGCATCGTTTAACTGGCATTGCGGACCTGCTATAATATAAATATTTAGGATTAGTTTAATCATTTAGTGTGTAATCGTGTACATCCCTCTAATCCTTATAACTACAAACTTTATATGTAGGAGTTTTACTGGTAGTGAATTGTCTTTGGGTTGGGTTATTTCTACATCTCACATGATTTAAGTAGCTGAATACTGACTCTTAAATGTGCAAATACTGTATGTTAAACCAGGATTTGTCTTGATCAATCCTGGGGTAAGCAGAGTTTAGATGAGGTGTGTTTGCCCTTCAAAACATTTTGTGGACAAGGGGAAAAGGCCATGACTGATTTATTGCCCCCTTTAGACTCATAACGACTGCAACCTGCCAACCTGCCTTTGTGCCAGACTATCTGCTCCCTGTAAATCAACTCTGCTGCTGGAGATTTTTTGGCACGGCTCAGCTCTGAAGGCACTGTGGTCTATGTTTAAAAAAAACCCTCACCCTGACCTTGTTTCCCAGTATAAAGAACCCTCCAGACTCATGGGATGGCTGTCGTGTCTTTGCAGTGCACTGTTCACCCACTGCCACCTTGGCTGTCCAATGCCATGCAGGGTGTCGGCTCGCTGTCAAGCATACCAGAGTGCAGCTGCTTGATTTTCACATTACAACCGACTGCTTGGGGGGATTACTAACAGTTTAGGAAGCAAATCTGTCCCGATCATACGGCTTATTCACTCAGTGCTGATGATAAAGAGTTCAAATCCATCCAGCAGGCCGTAGAGACAGTTTACATGTGTAATCATGAATAAAGACGTTCACCCTTCACCCCTTCAGTGATCACGTTTCCTTTGACATGGAGAACTCTGAGCTTTGAGCAGAAGTGTGAACAATCGGAGTGGAAAAGTGTTTGTCGAGTGTCAGGTCTGAACCTAAATAGCAATCCTTGTTTGTAACCTCCCCACTTCTTCATCAGAAATAGACGGCTGAAGAATGAAGTCAGGGCAAATGACAAAGTGAAAGCTTTCAATCACATAACAAGTGTCCTGGATTTGACTGTAGGGTATTAGTGATTAGAACTTTCTCCTATGTTTAAACAACACAAACAGTAAATACATATGCCAAAGCTTTGATTAACAGCCCTGAGATGAATGTACTTTAACACCTAATAAACAACACGATGAGTTATGATGTTTAAAGATGGATGCATTGACTTATAGATCTTTTATGTTTATCTCTTTTTTTTAGCAGGTGTGAGACCCTAGCTACTGACATCACCTTCAAAATAAAGCCTTACCCCCCCCCCCCCCCAACACAAGGCTCTGCTCTGTGTTTGTATCAATTTCCCCTCAACCTTAGTTCCTGTACTTTTGATGAAGTTCATACCAGACTGAGGACAAGACAAGGGACCAGCATCAACTACACTTAAGAACTCCAGCATCTATGTTGTTCCCCATTTCCCAAATATGCAATACCTAGTAAGGGTCTCCAGGACAAAGTACCACATGTTAAATGCTTAATAGATAATGGATTGTGTATTTCATATCTGTTTAATCAAAGTGACTCTTTTCAAATGGCTGGATGCATCAATATTATATTGTTTTGAAGCCAAGCTGCTGGTTTTGCTCTTCTAGTTGTTATACAGCTTACGTGCAATCGTAAGAATTTAAGCTTTATTGTCCTTCACTGCCACTGTTTTATTTGAATGGTAGTTACTATTTTGACTGCATGTAATAACCAATGCTGATCAAAATCTACTTGATGGACTTTCATGATCCTCAAAGCGCTTATGCCCTGCTTCCTTTGGTCATCATGCGACTTTTCATCTGGTTTGAGTGAGACGTCTCATCAGTTATTGAGTTGATTGCTATGATATTTTGGACACACAATCGTCAAAATGTTCCCTTATTATGTTTTTCAAGTGTGCTGTCATGCTGTTTAGTGCCATCGTCAGGTCAAATCACAAGCTGTTGACCAAATATTTACTAAAATTAACATTCCCATTATCTTCCATATGTTAGATTCATTGCTGATTAATTATTAAATGTTTTTGCTAAATGCTGGTTAGAGAAACTGAAGAGGACAACCATGGTCAGCAATACACCAGCTTATTATTTGTTATTTTAAACAACTTAGAAAGCTGACATTAGCATTTAGCTAAGGCCTCACAGAGTGACTGGCAGAGCTGTAGACTCACTGTTTGTTAGCTCTAACCTCCTAGGGAACTTTGTAGGACATCTGGACCTAATTTCACTTACCAGCAATTTATTTTAAGTGTACAACTGAAAGCTGGGGTTGTTGTAGCTTCAACAACTCATTTAATTATCATTTATTTGAATTCATAACAGAAGACTTTATGTCTTATTAGAAAAAAGGTTTGTTAGTAAGCAATGTTTATGAAAACCACAGGTTGCCTTATCATAAAGAGGTACCGTTGACCTCACAGGAGCAGATAAAACCAGTCGTACATTTTAGCCCATAACTACAGGTATATGGTTTGTTACCTTTTTTGCTTGCCTCAGATTAAAAATCACATTTTTTTTTACTTTATACAGCACCAAAACAGTCTACATATGTGTTAAAGTATCCACTGTGAAACTAGTCAGTGACCAAATGCAACGCTATTCAACAGACAGTCTTAACAAACATCAGCTCACTCATTTTGCAGTTTAATTGCACTGCAGCAGGAATAAAGTTTAAGAAGACATTAGCAATATGCACTCTGTTTTAACAATGCCTGTAATCTACTTCAAGCTGTACCCTGGTGCTCCCGTCTGTCAGCAGGGCACATAAATTGAATACTGCCAAAATGTATTTGTAGTCTTACGATATTGTTGTGGTGAATGGCTTATTTTTGAAACATTTGAAATTACTGTTTGTACTTGCTTGAGCAATAAAGAAATACAAAAAAGTGTTATTGTTCGGTTGTTGTGATTGTAGCTATCGGGAGGAAATGTCATGATGTGTCCTTCCTAACTACTTGTGAAATATGAAGTGTTGAAACCTGAGTGTTTGGTGAAAGCTTGAGAAGATATATGGACATCTTACCGAGGCAGGAATACACCTGCTTATTAAAGTGTGTGAGCCTGTGTGGCAGAGCGCTAGTGTCCAGCTGTCTAACAATAGACTGACCAGCCATAGGGTGCTGCAGTCACATGAGTAAGAAGGGTCGGACTATGTATCCTTGATGCTCAACCTATTTGTCAAGAAGCTGAAGTCTGTGGTTCGTCTCTGAGCTCCCTCTGTCTGGCTCACAGGTAAGGACTGTCTTATTGTCTGAACTGATCATAAAAGTAATATTTAGTCATGACTATCAAATTAATTTCAGTCTAAAAAAAATGTCCAGCATTCTTAATTGTTGATAAAAAAAAAAAGGGAAATATAATTGTTTTAATTCTTCTCAGGACAAACATTAAACATCGACGTCTTCATCTATGTTTCAGTCTTTTTTTTTTTTTAGATGCATCCATGTCCTTTAACACAAAGTTAAGAATACTTGCTTAACAGTGGTGGTGCTGTTAATATATAAGACACTACAACAAATATAGCATATATAGAGAGTATAGAATATATTAAATGACATAAAGTAAACATATCCTGCTCTCACACAGAGAAACTTCATTCATTGTGTAGCCAGAGACAGTAATTACCTTACATGGACTTGTAACCTTTAATGGACGAGTAGATAAATCAATTTACTCCAACAACAAAGGCCTACTTAAAGTACACGCTTTAAGGTGTCTTATTGAGTTTTTTTCATTATAGAGTTTTAACCTGTGTTGGAAGAATTGAGAACATTAACAGAATGAGCATACGAGTGTTTTGATGTTGTGTTTCTTTACACATTTATTATGTTCTATAGGGACATCCTACACGTTGTCCCCATTAAGTAACCTGCCTGCTACAGCATTTACAAAGTGTTACAAAGTGTTACAAAGTGTACAAATACACGCTCCAAAGGAAGACCTTTACGTCTCAGCAACTTAGATTTTGTTCAGAAGTTCATTCTGCCAGTCATACTCACAATCTATTTTAATTCAGTTGATTGAATACAGCACTTTGAGTGGTAAAACAGTATTTCATTATATAGCTGATGTATGCTACAGTTAAAGCTCCGAGTACTTTTCCATTTGAACCACACCGTTTTATTAGAGGAGATATTTGTGTCAGCACTGACACCATTGTAAAGTGTTTGAACTGTTGCCACCTCGTGCTCTGCTATGCTGTTTACTGATCAGATACATTTGACGGTCTAAAAATAATCTGAAAGGGGTCTTTTTTTGGCAGAGATCATCCATAACAAAATGTCTGAAACAGAGGAAGTCGTGGAGGAGGAAGCTCAGTATGTACTCATTCTTATACTCTTATCGATTACATTATGTTGTGATACAAAAATATTAAGTTTTTTCAACTTTTTTTCATGTTCATCTTTAGGGAGGAAGAAGGTAAGCAATTTGAATCTACCCATTTCTTTTCACACATTATTTGATTTAGAAAGATTGAACATATTTCAGTTTCTGATTATCAGCCGAAGAGGAGGAAGCGGCAGGTGAGAAACCTGCCCTTGAATGTTTCCACCTTTTTCCTTGAAAGACACACTTCCGCACTTGGCTTTTTAAATGATGTATTATCATTAATTTTTTCTTTCGCCTTGTTTCAGATGACTCCAAGCCAAAGCCAAAGTCAGTGCCTCAGCTTTTCTTTATCTTTAAAACACAATCTATGACTGCTGAGTTCAAAATATCTAACGGTTCACTTTTACAGGTTTATGACCAATATTGCTGCCCCGAAGATCCCTGATGGTGAGAAAGTGGACTTTGATGTAAGTTGACATAAATGTGAAGAAACAAAGTATTATCCCAGTAAATTCTAATGATGTGCTGGCGTCTGATTTCGTTATTTTTGTTTTGTGGTGGTAGGACATCCACAGGAAGCGTCAGGAGAAGGATCTGTCTGAGCTGCAGTCTCTGATCGAGGCTCACTTCGTCCAGAGGAAGAAGGAGGAGGAGGAGCTCATCGCCCTCGTTAACAGAATTGTGAGTGTGTCATTCAATGAGGAGATACAGTGATTTTTGTTTGCTTTAAATCACTGTAACTATTTTCATTTTCTCGTGCAGGAGAAACGTCGAGCTGAGAGAGCGGAGCAGCAAAGGGTCCGAACAGAGAGAGAGAAGGAGAGGCAGGCCAGACAGGCGGTACAGGCTCAGTGTAGATGATCTCACATTTTCACACAGACAGTGCAATCATACAGTTTCTCATCGACATGATTGAACTGTTCTGCATAAAGGAGGAGAAGGAGAGGAAGGAGCTGGAGGAGCAGCAGAAGAAGATGAATGACGACGCTAAGAAGAAGAAGGCTCTCACCAACATGACCCAGCAGTTCAGTGCTGGACAAAAGGTCATTTCACTTCTCACTGGTTTCAGTATTTAAAAATGAATCATAATGTAGCTACAGGAATGGGAAAGGTTCTTCAAGTAGAATCACTGTTGCTTGACTTGACAAGGTACGAAAAAATAGTATTTTTCATCAACAATCAACAGACCTTTATAATTCTATCCATTAAAGTATGAATTCAGTAGCAGGGGAAAAAGATAATAAGATCGGTTTCCGGCCCGATATTGAAGTAATTAATGTATCAGATACTGAACTGACGGTGCCGATCCACGTCACTGAAATATGGTTGGGCACTTTAAACATTTTCAGCTCACACAGTCTCACTTGAAGACTGAAGACGTTCAGACTGAACTGTAAGAGGTGCCCACAAATTGTCTCCATGAAGACGTTCAGACGAGATGGAACAGCTCCCTCTTTATGATCAAAAGTGCAATTCTTACACTTCATTTCAAAAGATTTAAATTGAAACACCTGACAGCTGTTGCTGCTTCCTGTTTTGTATGTGAAGCCAGCACAATGCAATGATGGGTTTAGACAGGTTTGTGTAGCTTTACACATAATACCAACAACAACAATAACACTATTAGTTATGATATAAAAATATCAGTACATATGTATCGGAATCAGATCTGAATTTAAAAAAAATTGGATCGGTGCATCTCTAAAAAGATATATAACTCTAAAAAAGTGATTACCAATACCGCAGTTCAAAAATACTCTTGCAAAGTAAAAGTCAAATTAAAAGTATTAAAAGTATTATCATCAAAATATGATTGTTACGTTCCCTGAGATGGCTAGGGTATGAGGGGAGCAATAATAAAATAAAACTGAGGGAAAAGAAGGAGGAACTTAGTATAAGCAAATTTAACAATCATTTATTTACAAAATCACAAAACTAAACAACAAAGGAAAAGCTTCTTTTTAAAAACACAACACTACAGCACGTAACAATGATGACGATAAAACTCGTAAAATAACATATTATTTTATATTATGAATAAAATAGTGGAGATGAAAATAGTCTTATTTCTATAATAACATTTATGGATTAACTATAGTTTGTGAATATAGGCATTGATTTGATGGCTGTTTTTGTGACCCTAAGAGTTATCATTTACGTAAGTTTTTTAATAAATTAATTGAATTAAAAAAGTATATTTTCTTCTGAATTTCCGACGCTGAAAATGGGAATACTCATGTGAAATTCAAATAACTCTTAAGTGTGCTTCAGTGCAGTACTTGAGTACTTAAGTTACTCTCCACTTACTATTCATAAAGTGGTATATTCCTGTTTGTGTCTCACAGTTAGTCTTACTCTGAGCTACTTTAATAACCCTGCTTGTCCAAATTTACTTGAGTAAAAAGCATCAAATGTCAGGACTATGAATGTGTTTGTACCTGATACAGTATGTGTTCTTTTCTTTTCTGACCACTGCAGAGTGAGACAAAAAGAGGAGGCAAGAAACAAACTGAGAGGGAGAAGAAGAAGAAGATTCTGGCTGACCGCAAGAAGCCTCTCACTGTTGATCACCTAAATGAGGACAAACTGAAGTATGACAGAGACTCACATGTTTAAATGTCTTCTTTTTTTTAAATCAAAAGACTGCACTCACATATGCTGTTGGCTCATGATAAGAGATTATTTTAAGGATTGTCACTCACATACTGAACTCTTGTGTTCAGGGAGAAGGCCAACGAGATGTGGCAGTGGCTGATGGGGCTGGAGGCTGAGAAGTTCGATCTCAGCGAGAAACTTAAAAGACAGAAGTATGATGTAAGTTATTCCTGTATAGTGATGCCGTAACGGCAAAACAAGGGGAAGATCTCCATCATCAAGATACAAAATAAACAAAAAACAGAACCTGAGAGACATAAATTATGTTTATGCCCTATTACCTCCCCCTGCTGGACATTTCAGGTATCCTATCTATGTTTTGTTAAGCATTTGTTTTAATTTTTGCAGATTAACCAGCTTCTTGCCCGAGTTCAGGACCACCAGAGGTAAGTTCACAACCTCCTGGGTCAGTAGGTCTACTGGCACTTGTGACTGGGGGAGTTTTGGGGGGGCTGTATTTTGTGTAGCAGGTTTTTATGTGTCTTAGAAAACAATCTATAATAAATAAAATTCAACAGAATAATGTGGCTCAATTACCCCATTAGTCTGGGGTAATTATTTATTTTTAAACAAAATAAGTGGAGAAAAAAAAAAAGAACAATCAGGATCCAGATTAATGACACCATAAAAGCAACAGTCAATTTACAAATTCAGTCAGCTGTGAGCTTAAACAAGTGGAGCACTACTTGATGATTAAAAAAACACTTTAAGGTAAAGCCGATTCTTCCACTATTACTGCAGATATACAGCTGCCAGCTAGTATAGCAAATGTTAGCCCGAGGCACACAGCACATAACAATAAAAGTAATATAGTAGCTTACTTACAGGTTAGACTTGCAGCGGTAAAACAGTCTTCTTCACCATTTGTGTTATCCTCCAAATGTGGCAACATCTCCAGTTGTCCTCAGTCGGTGGTGTCGCCCTGACATCTACTCTCCATTATCCATTAAGTACATATCAGCTCAGGTAACAAGATGAAGTTGTTGTACTTCATTAAATATGTTCCACACTTTGAGTAACTCCTATATATAACCTAACTGTAAAACAAAGGTGTGTTTTTGTCGATTTAAATATCAAATCAGACTGGGATGATACAAACCTAATATTCGTCAAGCAGTAACAGTCAATGTCATCCTCACTACTTATGTAAATGCAAACGTTAACCACAATGATTATGGGTATAAAAACAAGAACCATCAATGTATTCATATTTATTTTTTTTGCAGGTTTTATTCCATAAATATTTTTATTTTCACATCATTCAGGACAGGGGAGATTTGAGACTTGTCCATCCCCTCTGCCATCATTGCCCTGGGTGGATACAGGCCTACCTTTTAGAATTAGAACAACCTAGGCATTTCTATTTTTTATTTACACTCAGATTATTTTCTATATTCTCTTCACTGCACTTAACTCATTCCCTTCAATAAGAATTCATACTAAATAATAAATACCCTTTCACCTTCTCCTGTTAAGACATGGATAGATCAGAGTTCATTTCAGGTATATTAAGACATAGGAAGTCAAACTTATAATGGCCAGTTTGTTATCTCAATCTATAGAGTTCCATTATGATTTTCCTTAGGTATAATAATTCTAATAAGAAACTAATTGAATGAAACATCACACTGCTGAAAGAAGCCTTAGGTCTTCAGTAAAGATCTTCACATGTTCATATGTTGTATACTTTATTATTTTCTGATCTTGTCATTAGGGTTAAAACACCTGCTGTGGACACGAGTGATGCCTTTACCATGAATTCTGTACAAACCATACATACAATCTATTTACTGTATTTTGGGAGTGATTTGTGAAGTGCTGCAGAAGAATAACATCCATCCACTTTGTCAAATTTTCAGTGCCAAAGGTCGCGGCAAGGGCAAGATGGGCGGCCGCCTAAGGTAAAGGAGCAGTCTGACAGGGACAAGCAAGTTTCGACCCCAGTGATTGGCCAACAACTCCACTAAGCGTGTGAATTCATAGTTGTGTTCTGTTGTGTTGGGTTACATGTCAATTATCATGATAGCAAAACAATAAATAAGTTATTACAATCACCCTGCAGATTGTCTGTTTCTGTGCTCTTGAGTCCAAAAGACAGAACATTACATATGAATACAAACTCAACCAGCCAGAATCACCATGGAACAGCTTACCGGATGTATCAAAACCTTTGAAAGTTTGTTCAATAGATAATTCAACAGTTCAAGAGTTATTGTTCGATAAGGAAAAACAAAATACATCTGTGGGTCTGATGTACAAAACTTACATGTCTCCATAAAAGTAATGCCTCTATTACCATGAAACTGAAGACTGTAAAAACAGTGTACAATTAAAAAAAAATCCAAGTTATGTGTATTTCCTGGGAATAACCAGTAGACACATTATTTTGTCGGCATCTAATAAAAGACTTGATATGATAAAGAGAGTGTCTACATGTTGTATCGTGTGTTTGTCAATTTTAGCTTTAATTCAAATGTACATAAGAGCAGACATTCCTCAGCAAGGCTCCACATCGTGGCGATGCATAACGTTATCTAGATGTTTTAAATATTTATGAAAAATATAGAATAATCTAGGTACAGGAGCCTATGTGATGCTGGCGGTGAAGGTCTCGTTTGTACTTGGGGTCTTTTAAAATCTATGTTTGCATATACACAGATCAGCAGCAGTGCATTTTAAAGTTGTTCGTCTTTGCCGTCTGAAGTACCGAAAACTCTCAGCAGGGGTTTGCGGGTCTGGGAGGGCCCAAGGGTCCATGTGTGCTGGAGGGAGGCAGCTTTCACCACAGGTGGGTTTCTCTGATCTCTGCTATCACCTGGCTGGCTTTCTGCAACGCCTGGACACAAATGGCAAAAATAGAGGAAACTGAGGATTCAACTCTGTTATGTTTGTACCCTGAGCACAACTTTTCTTTGGGTACATATTGGAGCATACCGTTTCCACATAAACCAGTTCTTAAATAATAAATGTATAATATTTGAGACTTCTGCCTTTAATTTGAGTTGTAGCTCATTTAAACTGTTATAGATTTAAAGTCCCTCTTTGTCTCCACTTCTTGTAATTTAAATGGTTTGAAATGATAAGGATGCACTTTTCTGTGTCATTCATTTAGTTTATATTGATAGAAAAAAAGAAGAGAATGTCTTTTATTAAATGTAAAAATCGACTATTAAATCGATCAGACTTTATCTGTAAAGCACTTTAAAACACACCAAACAAACCGAACTAAAGAAATGCTGTTATGTATCTAATAAGTTTACTATGAGGGAACACTAGAGTCTGAGGGAGAAGGAATTTAACCCTTGACACCCTTGACACTGGAGACTAAACCGGACTAAAAAAACATTAAAATAAATGTAACTCTATTACAAACCAGACTTGAAAGGTAAAGTATGACCAAACTGTTGTTTCTCTGTGTTTTTGAGCACTGTAAGGGCTGACACTTGATCTTGTTTTTACACTCTAAAGCGTCACTTCATTAAAGAGTTACCTTGAGCATATCAGCAGCCTCATTGCGCCTTTGAGCCATGTCCTCAGACTCTGTCAGCAGGTCTTCCAGCAGAGCCGTCTTGTATAACTGACCCACCAGCTCACTCTGCAGGCAGTCCTTCACATGGTTCACCAGGAAGTGCATCACTGCCTTTGGCACACTGAGGAAAGAGGAAATATACAGTAACATATCACATTTAAAAAAAAAAAGGGACAGACCATGTCAAAAACAATACTGAGATGGGTAAGGAGTATGTGTACCTGTCCTGGATGTTTTTGCGGACGATAAGAAAGTATGACTTGATGAGTCTCTCGATGACCTCACAGTCCCTCTGCTCCCGAGCAGACAACTTCCTGGATACTGGCACAGGCTGGCAATAAAGACGCATCAGATGTGATTGTTAATATATCTTCATGAACTACAATGCAACCTGGCAGACGCATATTATACAATTAAGTAAGAATAATACTGTTCTGCGTAAAGGAGCACTAACATGTATGATTACAGCGTTTGCTTTACACCTATCGCTTACTTGATAGAATGAGCAGTAGCCAAGGAAATTTTTGTTGCGGTTTATGCACTGCACGGAAATGAGAGACCACATTTATTTTACTTAACACCTCCACCCCTTCAGGAATAAAATAGGTGCTCAGTACTTTAAGTAAAATCTGAACAAATTACTTTGACTTTTACTTGAGGAGATCCATAGACCAGTAATTTTACTTCTACTTAAGTAAAATGTCATCAAAGTAACTGTACGTTTACTTGAGTACAATATTCTTGTTCTCTTTCCCACCCTGCCTATTCTTTATGTCTATAGATGCAGGGTACACACCACATCTAGCAGGTTGACAGCGTGGCCCTTCTGCGGGCTTGCAGGGAGGGTGTGGGCACCTCCGCTCCTATCTACATTCTCCTCTCCCTTCTTCAACATGCCCCTCCAGTTTCCTGTCCCACCATCTGACTGGTCGCTGACAGAGCCGCCCTGAGGGCCACTGGATGCTGCCTGCAGGGAGAGGAGAGAAGTACTGAGGATGTGTCTGGTATCAACAATAAATGCTCAAGCTGGAAACTTGTCATGTGCGTATCAGAACATAGAAGAGTATAAATTAAGAAGGTTAGTAATACGGTATGCAAAAAACAAACTTAGTATTACACCATCAAAATGCATATCATGCTTCAGGTCTTCTTTGAATTCAATCCAAAGAAATGTATCCAAAAAGGGTGAGCTGGAAAATGCTGACAACCAGATAAAGATAAACCTCTGAGGTGTAGGCTTTGGAAACATGACAATAAGAGAGAGATTCTAAACTTGTGCTTTGAAGGATCAATGATGGTGCTGATTTTTCTGATGGTATAAGTCTGTTGGGGACAATGGTATGAAACTGTGCAGCTCAAAATGAGATTCACACAATTTCATAAAATTCACTGTGATAGGAATTGTCATTTTACGAAGCGTCAGACACTACAGAAGATTTTGTCCATATCACCCACCAGTACCAAAACTAGTAAAGTTTTTCTTTATTTCTAAACAAACATGCCTCTAGGTTTGGAGTTGTTGTGGTTTATTTTTGTTATAACAAGCAGCATGCAGTTAAACAAATGATTTGATGTACACTACAAGCAGGAGGTCTGATGGTCAGTGAGTTTATGAGGAGTAAAAAAAATCCCCCTTGAACCCACTGAAGGCTACAGCATCTGCTAAGATTTAGGGAAATACAGTAAAAGTTAAGGCTAGGTGTTGGGCAGGGGTCAGACGTGGGCAGGCAGCGACTGAAGGAGGCACACCTTGGCGAACTCGCCCTCGGGGGCAGGAAGATCAGTGGGGGAGAGGGACTGCCCACCGGGGCCTTTAAGGGACTAGAGAAAGGCAAGATCAGGAAGAAGAGAGTGGACAGAAAACTGAGAGGAGCTACAGGCAGACTTGTGAAGATTTATAACAGAAAAAAAGGCTGTTGTGTTTTAAACAGTTCGTGGATGCTGACTGTACCTTGTCTCTGGGGACAGCAGAGGGGAGATCTCTCATTCTGTTGCGTCTCTGCTCCTATAAAAACAAAAGGTTTGATATATGTAACCTACCAAGTAAACTCCAGAAACAGTATATAAAAAAAATAAAAATAAAAATAAAAATAAAAACTGTTTTTTTTTTTCAATTTTTCAGAAAGATGCTTATCTCTTACTTCTATGTTGTTGTTCATGAGGCCGCAGGCATCTGCAAAGTCGGGATGCTTTGTGTTGATATAGGCGAGCTCAATGGCAACCAGGTTGTGAACCTGAACAGGATTTAGAAAATGGATTAATTAAGACTGCAGTGCAAAGAAAACCATTTAAAGATTCTTGTTGGTATCAAGTTTTAAGGAGATCCTGACCATTTCATTGGTGACGGGGAGTCTTTTTCTTAGTAACGAGGTGACCACTTCTACTATGGCATCATGGAGCTTTGGAAACCTCAGCAACTCCTGCAGAGAAAAGCAGAAATCATAGGATGGTTTGTATACTACTACTTAACACTGTACCTCTCTGATTGGAATGTGAAAGCACGTTTATCACCTGTGTGCTGTAGTTACTGCAGTGCTGGATGATCCTCTGCATCTCCTCGTGAACCAGCTCCACACAGCGCAGACTGGGATCCTCCAGACGCTTCACCTGCCGCTTCACCAGCAACTCAAAGGAAACTTCAGGCACAAATAGAGCAGGCCTGGGGCCCTGTAATAACAATACAAGTCTTCAGAAAACGTGTTGTTTAAAATGAAGATAACATGCTGAAAAAGCAGCAAAAAAAAACCTCACCGTTGCATTTCTTATTGCTGTGAGAACATCAATGGTCGTCAGTCCACCCAGAGGATCGACTGACTCCAATGTGCGACCGAATGTCTCATGAAATATATAACAGATTCTCGCTCCACCACATCTAAGGGGAAAACAGGAAAGCAAACTTAACTGAAGATACAGGACGCACTTGGTTTAAGCTGCCCTCTCATAAGAGTATGGATGCTAGCTCCCCTTGGTGGTGTATGAGGGTATATGCAGTTCAGGGAGTTGTGTTACTCACAGTTCAGTTGTCTCGATGTACTTGGCTGTGCCCTCTATGGTGTGGCAGTACTCTGCAGCAAACTTTGTGATGAGCTGCAGCAGGGTGGAACTCTTGTCATCGACTGGTTCGCCATAACTGTTGAGTAAAGACTGGTACTGTGCTGCCAGCACGTTGATCCTCGTCTTCAGCTCAGGAAGACAGTCTCTGATGTGGTGCATGAGCAGCCTTTGATGAGATTAAAGACACAATTACAATTTGACTAGAAAGAGAGAGAGAAACTGCCTTTCTAAGGAATTCAACAGTGTGTAAACATGGGAGATTTTATATTCTTCACTTGTCAGAGAGGGAGAAGACCTTGAAGGTAAAAGGTCTTCTTACAGAAATAACAACTCCATACCTGTTTAGTGTTCTGGCAAGATACTTGGTTCCATTTCGGTTTGCGAGAGACGGATACTTCCTCTGGAGGAAGGCATATTCATCACGGATGGAATCTGCCACCAGCTTCTTTTGATTGATATCCAACTGACTCCTGAGAAATCACATTAAAAAAACAAACAATACTCATGGAGATGAGTCGGCATTAGACATGGGTTTTAGGGTCCCAAGGTTCGCCACCATTCACCATGTGACAACAATTTACCATTAATGATACAAACTCTCACATGAAGATGATTTAAAAAATATAACAATATTGTTGTCCAGGAGGCAGCCAGGTGAGAAATATGAATTTAATTTTGACAATAAAAAATAAAAACTTCTCAAAACCTAGTCCTTCTTGCCTGATATTGAATGCAAAGTCTGTTTTGATCAGACTTTCTGCAATTTTTAATTTATTCTAACCTAATTTAAGTATTTTAAGTTATTCTTTGTCGGCAGCCTTTTTCCAAAAATGAGTCATGAAAAGGGGGGATCATCCTATAATCTGGCTCGTTTTATGTTGGGACCAATACAGTACTAGCTTTCTAACTACTAATCAACCAACAGAAGTGTAATGTTACCTGTTTACTACTCCAATAATACCCAGTTTGACAGGAATGACCCGGCCCATCAACACATCCATTGCATCTGTGCCAGCATCCATCAGATCCAACTTGGTTACCACAGCTAACGTCCTCCTGCCTGAAGACATAAACATACACACCTGGTTACAAAAAACAACAACTGACGCTGCAAATACAAAGCTCACATGATAAAGGATGTAAAAAAAAAAAAGGCCCATAGATATCTGACACAGAAGAGATAAACAATAAGAAGTGGGTAAAGAATAAACAAGAAGGCTTTTCACCATCAGGGTCAACCTCTCGAGCCACTTTAAGAGCCTCTGAAGTCGCCATGTCTGTATTAGCAGCCGTCACAGCCAGGATGATGGAGTTGGGGTTTGAGATGTACTTGACGATCAGATCTCTGATCTGGAGCTCTATGTCTTTTGGCTGATCTCCCACTGGTACCTGTTTAGAGATATTATTTTAACATTGATCGAACCATAACATTAAGCTGCAGGATTATTTTGAGCTCATAGTTGACAGAGTTAAAAACACGTGAGCAAAGGGGAGCTATAATAATAATAATAATAATAACAATAATACATTAGACTTTCATAGCGCTAGAGGAATCAAAGACGCTTAACAAAGAATAGCAAAAAAACAAACAAATCTCACCTTTGTAAGGCCAGGAAGGTCCACCAAGGTGAGGTTCACTACATGTGGTGAGAAGACTTTCAGGTGAATGGGATCATCACTTATACCCTAGGAGGGAAACACAAGAAGAAACATTTCTTCATTTGCTCATTCAAGCTGATAGCGCTATAGAGACTGACAGATACAGACATTTAAAGATCATCCAATTTCTGCATGGATGTAATTTCTTGTTTGGCAAGTGTTGGCGTTCCCTCTTAGCAAGTGTAATTAGCATACCTTGTTATTGCCAGAAAGTCTTTCTGTTTCGGCCTCAATCTCCTGCCTGATCTGCTCAAAGTCTGTGTAGATCTGAAAGAACAAGTTAACCATCAAAGGTAAAAGACATCAATGTTGGAAATATGAATGCAAGTAGTAGCTGTTGATTTATTTGTATTTACAAACATCATTAAAAGAGTGAAAAAACCTAGGGCAAAAGATAGTTTTATCAGCACAGCATAATGGTTCTTTATACGATGTTGAGCTGAAGAGTCACAGTTCAAACTTGGAGGACTTTTACCCCACAGCCACTGAAATATTTTTAGCTACTGAGATGGTGTGTGAGTGTGTGGGTCTGTGTGATTATAGACGAGCATGTCGTATAAAGTCCCCAAAGTTATTTTGTAGCTTATCAAATAATTACAGTAAGGCAGCAGAAGAAAACTTAATTGAGAACTTTCTTTTTTAGACAACTCTACCTTGTTTTTTGTGTGTAAGAATTTGCCCCATTCTTCTCCATCGATGCCTGCAGAAATCAAAGGTCAGAGGCAGATCAGTTACTGATGTGACAGATGTGGTTTCAAGATCAGAGTTACTATTTTTACTATCGCTATGTTAAATGTCTCATGGGAGGATTGTTTATGTGGGCAATATGGGATGGAAAAACTCCTCAGAGCAACGATCGACAGCTGAAGAGTTTTTAAAAAACAAACACACAGAGGAACAACTGTGTTTTTCACACAACAGTCATGGGAGAAAATGAAAGCCTGAAGCAAAAAATAAAAAGTTGATGCTTCTGCAGCGATAATCATCTATACAACAAAACAAGAGAACAATATTTACTAGGGTGGAGTCTGTTAGTCGTCTGGTGTTTGAGGATATCATAGGTGAGCTTTTAGGAAGTTGGAATTACAGAACAAATGAATTAAAATAATCAGGAACTGATTAATTATAACAAAAATCTGCTGCTCATTCCCCTTAACAGACAGAGACCAGCCTAAATGAAGGGGAGGGTGGGAGCTGAATAAAGTGAAGCCACATGGTTTGGCATCTTTGGAAAAGCTACATAAATACAAGCCAGGATGCAGCAGAATGGGCAAAGAAGACGGGGCGAGGGGAGGGGGGGGACTTGTGTAATATAAAAGCACAATAGGGTAAAGAAAACAGAAAAGGAGACCTCTGTAAAGTCGTCCATTTCTCTTGGATTCTGTGGTAATGGAGAGATGACAGGAGACAAAAGGGTTAGCCTGGCTATCTGTATCTCCTGCACGGCAGTCTGCAGTGACGCAGAGTCACACTGAGGCCGTTCCCAAAGGACAGCACTGATTTTCCGCAGCATCTTGACCTCTTTCATACCCCTTTCTTTTTTTAAAGACACTGGGAACTGTGCTGGCTCTAAGTTATACTCCTTTCCTAATATAACAAAGTTCTTTATTTAAGAAGAAAGAAAAATAATCATATTTATAAAAATCTCATGACATCATAATGTAATTAGTGCTGGGCGATTTGGCCTAAATTTGATATCACAATATTTTGTTTCCTAATGTCGATATGACTCGATAATTTATTGTATTAAAGTCTATAAATGTAGCCTATTAAACTGAATCTCCACTGTATATATATATATATATATATATACACACACACATATTTAAAAAAAAGATCACTGGCCCGACCATTGTAATCACTGGCCCAGGAACATTACTTTTGATTCGAAAAATAACAGTCACCAATAAATTACAACTTTTATTTAATTAATTGAGCTCTAATTATAAAAATATTGTGTATTTTTCTAATATTTATGTGCTCATGTTTATTCACCACGCTGGTAACTGTAAGAGTCTACTTAATCTGATTGATATTAATATGAGGCTGTGATAGAGCTGGAATTGTTATGATGGTGAATTGTTATCACCTTTCTCTCCTTCTTTCTTCTCTGTGAGAAACTCTTCATCCTTAGATCTTTACTTTAGGAGCTCTCTTAAGGGCTAAGAAGCTTGTGAATAACTTTTGTCTTTACCAGGGTCTAGTCTTTAATTTTAACATGTTCCTTCCAGCTCCAGCTGTCTGTCACTGTGGCTGAAACTTTTTTCCATTCTGTTTTCGTCATGCCCTGCTGTCACTCTCGACTCTTCTCGACTCTTTCCTTTGAATGCTGATTTTAGTCGGCTTTTGTCGGGATCTGTTGGTTTTAAAACCGTTTTACCAAATGTGTTTTTTTAGTAGAGAAAACCTTTTTTTTTCAACCATAACTTGTCCCACTTTGTATGTTTTAATCATGTTTTGAAAAGATAAATAAATCTGAAGGATCAAGGGGAACATTATTTTGCTTTTCAAAACATACTATGAGCCAGTTTATCTTTTTACTTAACTCGAAACTTTCTCAATCAGTATCTGCCTCAACTGTCAAGTAACAGTCTGAATATGTACAATACATATACACTTACTATTAGTGTATATTTAAAAACTAAATATATATTCTGTTAGTTTGTACGAGTTAATTGTGACAACTCCACCTATCTAGAAGTAACAGAGATGTCGGTAAAGTTACCATTCTCTTCATTGGTTTTCCTTCGGTCCTCTGTGTCTATGTGCACCAGTTGTAGGATGAGGGGCCGGCGTGTGACGATGCCAGTACCACGTGGCAGGATGTCCCTGCCAACCAGACTCTCTAAGACAGAACTCTTCCCACTGCTCTGTAAGAAAACAACAACAACATAAGCTGAGTAACAGATGTATGTGAGATTCATGGGGACCAAATAAACCAGTTCTCCCATCTTGCTGAAAAACAAGAACCACTGCACTGTGGTTACCTGTATTTGACAACTTCTCTAGAGCTTATTCATATCAGGTCTTTTTTAATTCCAGATGAACATTTACAGAATCCCTTGAACTCTAAATTGAATTTAAAAACAGAGGCTACTGGGTTGAATATAATTTGAATACCCAAAAGGGGCAGGACTGGCAGGGCTGTAAGTCTCTCAGTGGTCAAACAAACTTTGTTGCTGCTTTAACTTGTGTATCGTACTCATGTAAACGAGCAACGGGTTTCCCCTGGAGGATATTTCTTGTTTTTATTGACATGTGTGAAAGATAAATCGCTAATGAGATTAAGTGAACTGAAATAACTCACTTAGCTTACTTGGCAGGCAGATTCCTCCTTCATGGACTGATACAGATTTAGCAGTTGATGAGCTAAAAATGTTAATTGCTTTGTATCAGTTAACCTAATGTTACTTTAGCTGATTAAGGTTAGAGACTGAACAGGAATAGCCAGTTATTAATACTTGGGTGTAAGTTACCATTGTCCTTAAACAAAGGTCGATGCAGGCAAGAACAAACATACAACAAATCAGGCATTCAAAACATCCCCTGGCTTGCCCCGTCTCACTGTAACACCCACAGAGTCCTGAGACAGTCACATCCTATTAGCTGACCAATAAAAGTAAATGTGTTAGACATAACCTGCCGCTTTAAACCAATTAGCCTCTAACAAGTACTCATGGTAGTAAGGTAGACAGGGTGAAACTTAAGAGTAGAAAGGTGCTGATTCAAGTTAATGATCATTAGTAGTTTTTAAATGTTGCAGAAAATGTATTGAGCTTTACTGACAGGTACATTTCCACCCTTTTAATAGTAACTACAACAGACTACCTATAAAAAGTAATGTATTAAAATCTCACAATAACAATATATGAATTTAATCTTGACAATAAAAAGGAAAAACTTCTCAAAACTTAGTCCTTCTTGCCTGATACAGACTTTCTGCAATTTTTTAATTTATTCTAACCTAATTTAAGTATTTTAAATTATTCTTTTTAAACACTATTTAAAAATGTACATATCAATTTAAAGAGAGTTGAACCAACTACAGCAACTTGATTTGAATTGTATTAGCTTTGGCTAGGTGTAGCTAACAGAAGTTTTCCAATAACACTGATAGTTATTATAAGAAGGGAATAATGGTTCTGTCATTACTCTAAATATAATACATTTCAAGAAAAATAATAATTGTATTTTGAATAGTTATCAGAATGGTAAGTAGCTCTTAGTTTGTTCGACATCCACACATTGCTAATTTGAATTTAAAACGAGATCACATGTAGCTACTGCTAACTTAGTAGCTACATCACTTCAATGTCATTTACATTTAAAGGCAGAGTTCACTTATAGTCAGTCTATTTCGCTCTTTTTGACCCGGGTGAAACTGAAAGGAAAACTGGAATCAAAAGTAGCCAAAACAAAATTGAGTTGTCGCAGGCTAACTAACTTGCTAGCCCAAAGCAAAGTGACGTTTCTCACCTGAGTTCCCACAACAACTATCTGCGGCAGTTGAATAATGTCTGCGCCAACCGTGTTAAAAACATCTTGCAGTTTGTTTATGACAGGTATGAGGGCCTCCATGAGCTCCGGTACTTATCCCAACCTGTCAAATAAGTCAACTTTCTTAACCCTGCTGCCGCACTCGAGCACAAAGTCATTCAATGTCCCTCGGCTACGAGCTACTGGCGTCTCTTCGAAGAAGCTGCAAACAACTGCGCACACGGTTCCTCAGAGTTGCATCATGGGAGTTGGGGTTCTATATAATCTCGCTCAAACGCTCGGAGGTTTGGGTTTGACTTTGATTGAACTACATTTCCTACAAATGGCATCGCACTCGCGTTGAACCAATGAAAGGAAAGATAATTATTTTACCTCTAAGCAACGGTTACTAAGGTGGAAACCATAATATTTTGAGGGAAACCCGTGAATGATGGATGCATGCTTCTGCTGCGTGAAACCATAGACTGTATAAATAAAACCAGTAAAACCAGTAGTAAGGCGTGTTCTTATAGGGACTGAGGATATGGAGGTGGTTAGGTTGGTTAGACTATGACGAATATCAGATAAAAGTACTTCTGGACATTTACTGGAACTGAACCTTACTTCACACTGTGTTCAGTCATCTGTTAAACGAAAATATTCTATATAGTAAGCTAAGTACTTTTGCTCAGTAGGCCTATATTTAGCATTACCAAAGAGTTGTGTTTCAAGCAAAATGATTTAATGAAATGCATTAAGAATATATTTTACAAACCCACCAAGACAAAATGCAATATTCTAAACGGCGACATTATAATAAAACATAGGAAGCTCAGTTTGGTATGTAGTTTTTATTTCTCAAAACACAGTTTGTTTGTACACAAAACTGAAAGTGCCGTTCAATATTTACAAAAGTATCAATACAAAACATAAATATTTCACAATAGACAACTGAGTGTGTAACTGTGGCTAGTTTAAAGATGATGATGTTAAGAAAACAGTATGGTTGAGGGTTTAATCATTGATTGTAAACACGTACCGTGTTTCTTCATTAATACCTAAAACTAAAAAGTAAGCGTATACGTGTACCAAACTAAGTAGCTCGTCAGCACTGAGAGATGGTGGTGACAGATTTAAGACGACCTAATGCAAGAGTTAGCTATGAGGTTCACTATATAACAGTCAGCCCAAGAATAACAGGACATTATTGCAAACTTAATTGATGACTCTTTCAACTGTGTTCAGCACATAGGTTGTAGGTTACTTACTATCACACAATTCTGAGTCAAAAACATTTCTATTTTGAATGTTTTCCAGCTTATATTTAATACTTTATAGATTTGAACAGATTCTCTAATTAAGACGGTTCTGATTTACTCACATATGGTTAAGTCTTTGAGTTTCAAAAGAATTTACTGGCAGATTCAGTACATGACTATTTGAAAAATATTTGGTACAAACGTGTTTAAAATTCCAAAATGTCGAGGGTCACAGACTTCAGTGGAAATTGCTACCCAAAATACCACCGGCTGCCATTGTTCCTACCACCAGCTGTGTTTTGAGAACCACAATGGCAAAGCTAATACAAAAGGAAGTCAAATCTGTACAGGAGAACAAAATGGAATTACTGAACTGGAGATGAACTGACATAAGGGTACTCCATGTTTCACTTAACAAGTTACATTATAAACTCCACAATCTCATAAGGTGCTAAACAATACTTACTAAATTATTTCTGTTAGCTTACATCAATAGTAAGTGAAGAGGTACTACAATCATGTTTAAGATGCATCATTTCACATTAGTATCGTTCGATATCAGCCCTGTTGACAGACATCGGCCCATCAGCAAATAATGTTGCATGAACCGATGTGGCGTACCAATAAAGCTGGAATCTGATACAGCTGACAACTGATTCTTAGAAGAGGTTTCTCTAATTAGGCAGAGGAAGCCACCTGTTGGCAAACACTCATTATTTTTCATGGTCAAACGTGAGAGAAAATGTCGGCACTGTGGGAGTCTTACGCCAAAAGAAGTAATGTAAAAACATTAGTATCGGCTGAATTGTGATTTTAAACATTGGTATGGACCCTGATTTTCTCAATCGGTGCATCTCTAAAATAAATCAATGAACACGTATATAGGGAATAGCTTGAACAAACATAGCTTATTAAGATTTTAAACCTAGGCTAAGTTAAGCACAGCATTGACTGTTTGCTGCCTGAATTTTCTGATCTGAATGTCACGGTTCCAATTTCACAGCATTTGAACCAAGTGGCTTTCCATTTCCCAAGCAATTAAACGTGCTGTATCCCCTTAAGGCAATCTTCTTTCTTTCAGAAATCATTATATATTCCATGCTAAGATGCAGTGCAGTCTGTGTAAGTGGTTACCATGTTTCCTCTGCGCTGTGTCACTGTTCTACAGTGTTGTTTCGATGCACCATGAAACCTGTTTTCAGTTTGTTTGGTGTGCCTTTCAAAGGTAAACATTTTATCTGCGTCGTCAAACAAGTCCTCAAAGATTCCCGCACCAAAGTTTCCTTGAAAGTGTCTCCGATGACGGCTGTGGGGGTCCTTGTGGGACCTGGGGTCCTCATCAAAGTGTCTTCGATGACGGGCATGCCTGTTGTGACTGTGGATGTCAAAGTCCTTAAAAATGTCATCAAAGTTGAAGGTGAAAGGTTGCTGGGCACCTTGTCTGTGTCTGCTCTGCGACTCCCCGGTGAAGTATGCAGAGTTTTCACCCATGTGGTCATATCTTCTTCTTCTGGTTTCGTCTGATAAAGTTTCATAAGCTGCAAAAAGAAGGGCAAGGATGAATCAAGGCTGGGGAAGTTTTGTGCTGTAACTTATTATCATCTTTAGAAGGCATGGCTTTCATAACAAAATACTTACTCCAGATTCCTTCAAGTGAACTGAGACATGCAAAACAATACTAATATTACACCTACCCTAGACAGAAGGTTACAGAAGAAATAGGAATAACATTCATGTTTAAAGAAAAAAAAAAAGTGTTTTCACAAATCAAAACAATCACAAATGAAAGAATCAACTGTACCTTCAGCAATTTCTCTGAACTTCAGCTCAGCGTCCGGGCTCTTGTTCTTGTCTGGGTGATATTTCATTGCGAGCTTGTGGAAAGCCTTTTTTATCTGTCGTTCAGAAGCATCTTTCGGCACTCCTAGTATGTCGTAGTAGTCCCTTTTGGCAAGTATCAGCTCTGTTATCATGAGGATGCACACTGCAAATGTTACAGCAGACTGCGCAGTTGCCATTGCTCGGATATCCCCTACAATGAGAACACAAAAGTGAGCAAAGCAGCAGTTTTATTTTATTTTAAGATAATCATTCTCTCATCCATGTAAAGATATTAACATTAGATCTGATCTCGTGTGTGTATCTTGAAAGGCCACGTTAGCTGACGTCGGCTAACATTGCCCATGCATGCTTCTTTCCTTTGAGTCCACACTTACCTTTTCGGAGACAGAATTACCGCCCGGCTGTTGAACTGCAGTCCTGCTTGGTATCTGTTCACCCCATGCGAAACATTATAGTAAGGGATCTAGGTAATGTGTGTTGTTATCGTCTTGCAGTGGTAACATAAAAGCATCATTTCGGTCTTCTTCGACCCTTGTCAGTTTCATGGAGAATAGATGCAGGATGTTGCATTTCTGCCCTCTGTCGGCCAAAGAAGTGCCAATCCGAAACCGTCCGAAAGTAACCCTCATGTTGTGACTTTATAACAGGAATGGGCCACATTCATTTAACTCTCACTGTCAGGGGGCCAAATTATAGTGTCCAAAAACGATTGAAATCAATTATGTCTCAAACTTAACTCAACATATGCCAGTGATCAAATATTATTATGGACATACTTCTGGTTTTCATGATTTCATGGCAGATCTTTGTCATGTTTTCTTCATGATTCCAATTGGTCTCAGCTCTTGTTGTTGGGTTCTTGTGTTGCCTGGGTTCTCATAATGGTTCTTGTGATGGTCGGGTTATATATGTCTGTTGGGTATCGTGCACTTTTCGGTTTCTTTTCTGTTGAATTGTATTTAATTATTTTTTTTTTTTAGTATTTTGCATCTGTTATATTCTTGCTGTTGTTTATGTTCTTCTGTGTTTGGTTTAGTTTGCCTTGTTCTTGTTTTTGCTGTTTGTCAAAGCTCTTTGTAAACCTGTGTTTTTAAAAGGTGCTATATAAATAAAGTTATTATTATTAATAATAATTATTTGATATGTCAAAATTGAACTGAGGGCCACATTGAAGGTTGATGGGGGCCGCATGTGGCCCCGGGCCGCCAGTTGCCCACCCCTGCTCTATAACATAACAACATTTCGCAATATCTTCACCGCTTGTATAAACTGGGGTCTTGGAGTATTGTATCATATTCAAAACAACGGAAAGTAGCCTACTCATAATTTGTTTGTGTGTCTGCTGAGCATTAGATTTTGGTTGAATCCCGCGTAATTTGTGGTGGGCGTCATATTATGAACATTGTGCCGACTCCGCCTACCCGACAGAAGTTCGGGACACGCCGGTGAATAACAAGAGCTGACTCTGCGCTCACAGTCAAACAAACCCTATGTGGAGAATTTTCCCATCCAATCAACAAACCCCATTCGAGGGGCCGAGCGATAGACAGCCAATTACAGAGCAGACTGAGTCTCACGTGATCATTGTTTTTCTCTTGACTGACGTCGTGACGTCATTATGGAAATAGTGTCAGGTCGAATGACTGTTAGGGAAGAGTACGTTTTAATAGTTCTGTGTTAACTTTATAAAAAGATTGCGACTTATTGAGAATAATGAAGGATTCATGGCTTCCGTGTCACCACGACATATGACTGGTACGGTTTGTTTGGTTTGTGGGGTCTTGTATGCCGATGAGTTAGCTAGTGCCGAAGAGAAGCTAACAGCTAGTTGCTGATGTTGAAAGTGGCTATTTACATTATCTGTCTATGTTGTTTATAGTATTTAAAGCAGTATTATAATGTGACATAACTTATTTATGACGGTAATGAACACAGAGGAGCAGATAGGAGCAGTGTTGTATTTAGTTCTCATCATTGTTGTCTTTCTTTCATTGTAACAATCACTTTCTGTTCTTTATCACCAGGTTAACAAAAAAAAAAAAAAGGGGGGATAACACAGATATAGTATTCATTTGGATGGCACACACGCTTGTGACCTGGACAAAAATGAGCTATATATGTGCTCCCAAGACATGGGTGAGAGTAAACAGAGGGTTTCATCTGTGGCAAGCAGCAGCATCTCTACCCTCGTCTGGCACCTCTCACTGCAGGGTTCATGTGCAACACACGTATTACTACATCAGCTGGAGGCACGTCCACTACCTGAGGAACACTAGGCGCAAAGGATGGCTCTGTAAAGGAAACCAGGTTCGACAGAGGCTTGGGCTCCACACCAGCTCCCCGTATTTGAGCACTTCAGCTTCACGTTGGTCTGCTGGCCTGAGCCAACACATGTCGCGGGTCAGGAACACACTGGACACAGTTTCTAAAGCTGTGAGTGGGACACAGTCAGAGCTTTTCTCCAAAATTGCTAGACTCAAGCCTAATGCATTAAAGGCTAAGAAAGAGGCTGAGACGAGTGTCGAGTCGACGCTTAAAGCAGAGGAGACGCCTTCTTCTACTCCTTTTGATGCTGCCGCCCCGTCTACATCTACTACAACCACACCTGTGTGTAATGAATCGTCTGCTGGTCCTTCGATTCCTACATCTGCTGCTACATTTAATGCAAGTGCCACTACCTCTTCTCGTCCACCCAATTCTGCCCAAGCGACTATCCCGGCCGCAGTTCTGGCTGCACGTGAAGTCAAGGAGAAAAGGCTGAGACGTATTGCTCCTGCTGTCAAAGCCAGTGTTGCCAAGAAGCAAGATGACCATGTACGTTCAGTGAGAGATTCCGAGAGCAAGAGCACAAATCCAAAACAAACCACAGCACTTTTCCACCCCAGCACCTTCTCAGCAAACCTTGACGATACATACAGCTACCTTGCCAATCACATAAACTCCTACTTTGGTACAAAGACTCAGGACAAGAAAGACGACAGTTTTGGCTTTTCCTCTGCATCGTCTCAGGGTCAACAAACTAGTCACTCCGGGTCGGTGTCGAATAAAGCGGATGCTGTTGCTGGAACTCCCCCACCTTCATCCAAGAAGGGTTTTGGGCATTACCTGTCCTACTCGGCTCCAACTGTACAAGCCTTTGTGGGAAGCTACATTGCTCCTCTGGTCCCCAGGTTTAGGGCAGCAGAGTCCAAAAGTGCAACAGTGGAGGAGAAATCTGAGGAATCACCAGTCAAACAGGTTGAGGCCACAATAAATAAGGAGCCGACGGCTGCCGAGGAGAAAGCCAAGAAACTGCTACCTCAAAGAGAGAAGGTAGGTCTTTGAACAAGCAATGTTTCATGTATAAGTTCATCATATGTTGGAATAAAAACTCAATCCTTTTTTTAACATGTATGGGAAGCCAAATGTCTTCAGGTTTATTTGAGGATGTTGTAGTTCAGGCACATTTGCTGAGTGTCTGGTAAATAATTGCTGGTTTCCTGCTGTCCTCATGTTGACTAAAGCTCTTGTTACTCTATATGTCTAATGGTAGTGTAGTATTTCTGACATGCTGCCTGAGTTCTAGGAATCTTTTTTTAAAAATAACCCCGTTGTGGACTTAGGGGGGGCCACATAATGTGCGCACCATTGAGTCCAAGCCAGTGTTTCTTCTTGAGGTCATAAACACAATTGACATTCATTTTATGGGATGGCTGGATTTAGTCCTTTTAAAAAGGGACTTTTTTTTTGAGTCATTAAAAAAAGCACATAATATTGCTGCTGCTTTCAGTGTGTGATAAATACAGAAGATTGATTTGATATGCATGTAGTTTTTGGTCTCACTTGTGTTGTGAGATGTAATTCATCAAGGTACATACTGTAATTTAAAGTGCATGCAGTATGACTGTTGACCATGACAACAGTTACTGAATATCAGCTTTGATAAAAAAGAAGTCAGATGTAAGAGGCTTCTTCACATATCGAGTGAAGTTGAGAACCTTTGTTAATAAACTTTAGTAACTCAATCTACTCACAGATGTTTTATGCATTGTTGTGTTGATGAAAATATAACATCCTCATACACAAACAATTGCTATGAAAATACATAATTATTATAATAATAATAATACATTAGTCTTATATAGCGCTTTTCTGAATACTCAAAGACGCGTAGCAAAGAAAAAACAAAACAATTATTTCAAAATAAAGCATTTCAAACATTTCATTGGATTTTTATATTTAAAAAAAAATATATATATTTTTGGGGGGTTACTTTATTGGAGAGATAGGACAGTGGATAGAGTCGGACATCAGGGAGAGAGAGAGTGGGGAACGACATGCAGTAAAGGATCCACAGAGGGGATTTGGACCTGGGCGCCCACTTGAAGGACTACAGCCTCCGTACATGGGGCGTGCGCACTAACCACTGCGCCACCAGCGCCCTGGATTTTACATTTTTGAGTGGTGCTTGAGAGTTAAATCTTGGTGTCTGGCCCATGGAAATATATATTTTGGTGATTTTGAGTTTCGCTGACTGCCACTCTGTTTTGCGTGTATTACATATTTATTGATGTTTCTTACTGATTGCTTCTCACCAGGTCTAGGAGTCCTCAAGAGAAAGCACAAACAGAATATATTAGTTACTGTGTCATGCATATTTTTTTTTTAGATAAGCAACAGATTGTGTAAGATTTTAACCTGTATCCCTATTGGCTAATATCTAGACCTAGTGTTTTGAATCATGTGCCTTGTCTTCTAGATCATTGCCAGGGTGAGTGTGCATAATCGAACCCGGGCTCTGGTTCAGGGTCTGCGCAGAGCATCAGATGTGAGGGTGTACATCAACAGGGTGGAGGACCTCAGCTATCATCTCCTGGAGTTTCCAGAGACCGCTGGGGTTGCAGTCAAGGTGAGAAATCTGTAAAGGCTACATTCTTCTTTTCTTCACCCAGCATGCTCTCATGCTGAGGCGCTGTCAAAGTATCTGATGCTGCTTTACGTGTCTAAAGCGTCACCTCTCATGTTTGGCACCAGCTCTGGGTGTTGAGACAGTATTTACAGCAGCATAGATTTCAGCATCCATAATCATGCTATGCTATATCAGGCATGTGTTGTTAGCGGCTGTTGTATGTAAATACTGTAGATAATGACCTTCTGCTTGTGTTTATGAATTTTCCAATGCCAGACTAAATGTCACAGACCGGCAGCTACATGCAGACTACATACTGCTGCATTTATTGCGTCTTATCTGTGGAAGTGACAGGAGCTTATCCACTGCAAACCTTTTTTAAACTAAGGATACTTTTACTAAGTAAGGAAGTGAGAGACTATTCTTAAGATCAACATTATTATTTGAAGAATATTTATTATAGCTTTTACAAATGGCAACAAGAAGAAAAAAAAAGAAACCTTGGGGCTGACCTTGAGGTGTTTGACTGACCTAATTTTGCTCTTTATGCAAACCTGATGCAGTGAATAAAAGGTCCTCTGGCTCCTTACAAACATTTATCCCAATTTAATCATTTAGTTTTTGTAAATGACCGTCTCATGAGACCTCATTAGAGAGACCTCCAGAGGCATGG